CTGTGTCCCCCCCCCCCCACCCCCTGCTCTCGCGCAACAGAGTACCTGCAGTACGAGGGCACCAAGTTCTCCAAGTCGAAGAACGTGGGCGTGTTCGGCATCAACGCTCGCGAGTCGGGCGTGCCGGCGTCGGTGTGGCGGTACTACCTGCTCATGAACCGGCCCGAGACGAACGACTCGGAGTTCACGTGGGACAACTTTGTCGCGCTCGCCAACGCCGAGCTGCTCAACAACCTCGGCAACTTTGTCAACCGCGTCGTCAAGTTTGCGGTCGCCAAGTTTGGCGGCGTCGTGCCCGACCCCAAGCACGGCGCGTACGACGCGTCGTCGGGCGCGTACCCGTTCGCGGCCGAGGACGAGGCGTTTGTCGGCGACGTGAACCGGCTCCTCGCGACGTACAACGACCAGCTGTCGCACCAAAAGTTGCGCGGCGGCCTCCAGACGCTCCTCGCCGTCACCGGGCGCGGCAACCAGTTCCTCCAGGACAACCGGCTCGACAACGCGCTCCTCGAGCACAACCCGGCACGGTGCGCCGAGGTGGTGCTCGTCGCGCTCAATGTCATCTACGTCGTCGCGGCCCTGACGCACCCGTACATGCCGTCGACGAGCGACTCGATCCTCGCCCAGCTCGACGCCGTGCCGCGCTCGATCCCGGACGAGCTCGCGATCGACCTCTTGCCCGGGCACCGGCTCGGCGAGCCAAAGCACCTCTTTGCGCGCATCGACCCAAAGAACGTCGCGGTCTGGCGCGCCAAGTACGGCGGCGACGCGGCCAAGAAGGCGGTCGGTGCGGGCGACGCGGCGGCGACGGCCAACAAGCCGCTGTCGAGGAAGCAGCAGGACAAGCTCAAGAAGGAGGCCAAGAAGGCGGCCGACGCGGCGGCGGCGGCGCGCCCTCGGTCCGACGAGGAGCTCGCGCTCGAGGCGTTGATCAAGAGCCAGGGGGACAAGATCCGGCGGATCAAGCAGGGCGGCGAGGCGCACGAGGGGGACCGGGCGGTCGAGGACGAGGTGGCGAGCCTCAAGGCGCTCAAGGAGGAGCTCGACGCGCTCACCAAGAGTCTCGCGGGCGTGTCGATCTAGACTGGTCCCTCTCAGTGTAACTTGAGCATTGTGAGCATCTTTGTGGCCGTACGTGCGACGAGAGCGAGAGAATGCGAGACGCTGCGCGCGAGAGGAGGTGGGCTGCGACGAGGGTGGCCGCGCCTCTCTGCTTCTCCAGCTCGTGTACCCTCGCGCAAGTTCACCCTTCCAGACACAGTGCGTCTCGCCACCCTTTCCTCTCCCTTACTCTCGCAGCCTGCACCCACGCGGGCCTGCACCAGCGGCTGGGGGATGACGAGCGGGGCGACGAGGACGAGCAAGTTTTAGGCGGGCGCGCGACGGCGACGGGAGGCGGCGGGCGGGACTGCAGCGCGGCTCAGAGGGCAGTACACGGTGCAGCAGTGTAGGACTGGAGCGGCGCACGGGGATCAGGGATGGTGCAGGCGGCACAGGGCCTCGCACCCTCGACGAGCAAGTCGCTCACCTCTTCGTCTCCCTCCCTCCTCCCTTCTCTCCGACTTCCACCACAGATGGCTGCCCGTCTTCCTGCTGCTCTCCAGGCCACCGAGGAGGACATCTCCCTCCTCCTCCAGGCTCAGGCCCACATCGGGTCCGTCTCTCTCTCCCCTCCCCTCGCCTCGCCTCACCTCGTCGAGCCTCGTGCTGACCCTCCCTTGCCGCCGCGCAGCACCAAGAACGTCGAGAAGAAGATGGAGCCCTACGTCTGGAAGCGCCGCGCCGACGGTCCGTCCCCTCTCGTCTTGCTCGCCCCGCTCCCCTCCCAACGAGCTCGAGCTGACCCCCCTCTCCCCTCACGTGCAGGCATCAACGTCCTCAACGTCGGCAAGACGTGGGAGAAGATCGTTCTCGCCGCCCGCATCATCGCGGCCATCGAGAACCCGAACGACGTCTGCGTCATCTCGGCTCGCCCTTACGGCCACCGCGCCGTCCTCAAGTTCGCCGCCAACACGGGCGCCCAGGCCATCGCCGGCCGCTTCACCCCGGGCAACTTCACCAACTACATCACGCGCTCGTTCAAGGAGCCGCGCCTGATCATTGTCACGGACCCGCGCGTCGACCACCAGGCCATCCGCGAGGCGTCGTACGTCAACATCCCCGTCATCGCCATCTGCGACACCGACTCGCCCCTGTCGTACGTCGACGTTGCCATCCCGGCCAACAACAAGTCGAAGCACTCGATCGGCCTCATCTGGTGGCTCCTCTGCCGCGAGGTCCTCCGCCTCCGCGGCTCCATCTCGCGCGCCCCGGACGCGTGGCCCGTCATGGTCGACATGTTCTTCGTACGTCCCGCTCTCTCTCTCTCTCTCGCCCCACCGTCGGCTCACGTCACTAACTCACTGTTCCGCCGTTGCCAGTACCGCGACCCGGAAGAGATCGAGCGCGAGCAGGAGGCTGCCGCCGCCGCCAAGGCCGCCCCGGCCGCCGAGGAGCCCGCCGCGCAGAGGGCGTCAGCGAGTGGGAGATCAGCGGCTCCAACACGGCCATCGCCGCCGCCGCGTCGTCCAACGTCCCCGCCACCGAGGCCGGTCCGTACCCTGTCCCTCCTCTCCTCTCCCTCTCCCTCGCCCTCGTCCCCCTTCCTTCCCTTCCTCCCTCTCCCCCGACCCCGACCCCGAGCCTACTCTCGACCCGTGTACTCACCCGCGCCCCGATCCACACAATTGGCCCGCAACAGCTCTCGACTGGTCGGCCGAGGCGCCTACGTCCGACTGGGCCGCCGCCGAGTAAACGCATCGCACCGCGCCTGTTTCTCTCGCGCGTTTGCTTTGCTCGCCGTCGTTGTCGTCGTCGAGGAGGGTCACACAAAAAAAGTTGGGGTGCGAGGACGGGAGAGAAGGGACCTTTCTCGATTGCGCGTTTCACGTGCATTTTCTCAAGTATCCCACGCACGATTGTTTGTCGCTCGTTGTCGCAGAGAGGAGAGCGAGAGCGAGAGCGCGCGGCTCGAGCGCAAGTAGGAGCTCGTCAACGACGGGCCGCCGACGTCGCCAGCCTTCGTCGGCGGCCCGTCGCCAGCCTTCGCTGCCCATCTGCTTCGGCTCGCTCGATGCTGTCGAGCGCTATGTGCAGGCCCCGCACCTCAAAGAGTGCGCGCCGAGCGCGCGACGACGAGGACGACAAGTCGTCGTCCACCCTTCCTCGCTCGCACGGACCCCTCTCTCCCTCTCGCGGCGCTTGTCGGCCTTCCCTCTCCTCGGAAGCTCGCGCCGCACAGGCTCGAGCGTGCCCTGCCGCCCGCTCGTCGGACGAGCGACGTTGAGTGAGCGTTGACCCGAGTCCTTCGCGACGAGGGCGCCTTCCTCTCTCGCGTTACAGTCTTCTAGGTCTGCATCCTCTCGCTTGCTGCCCGTCGTTCGTCGCTCGAACGCGGCTGCGTCATCGTGCTCGACCGGTGGGCATTGCTCGACCCGCCGCTGCGAGTCAACGTTCGTCCTCGCGCAGCGTCTCGCAACCGGGCCCTCTCGCTTTCCGCGCTGGCGCGTGGGCCGCAGCGCAGGCCGCAGGACGGAAACGTTCGTCGCCTCGCGCCCTCGCTCGCTCGCTCGTCGCCGCCGCCGCCCGAGCGAGCGAGCCTGCCGGATGTGCCGCTCGCCAGCTCGGGCTTGTGCTCGACGACCGTCCGCTTCTCGCTGCATGTTCTCTCGCGGTGCCGACGACGCATTTGTCTTCTAGCTGCAACGTCGCCGCCTCCTGTTGATGTCGAGAGAGTGAGAGTCTGAGAGCCGCAGCGGTTCCCGCCCTGCGCACCCAACGGAAGAAACAGATGCAGCTGGCCGGCCTTCCCAAGTCGACCTTCCTCGGCTCGCTCACGGCGCTAGAGCTCGGCGAGGTGCCGCGCGCACTGCCACGACGCTCAGAGCTGGGTGCAGAGCTGCAGCACGCTGCGGCACAGCTCTCGAGCGACGAGGCGCGAGCGCTGGTCGATGCGCTTGCCCTTCGCTCGAGGAGGGGCCCGTGCGCTCCCCTACGCCGCTGTTGTTCGCGCACGGCTCGCCCGTCGACTCTGTCGTCTCTCTCTCAAGGGTCCCACCGGTTCACTCGGTTGCGCGAGAGGCGTCGAGGAACGACGCCAGAGCCGGCTTCCTGATGACCAGCGCTTGACGGATCTCTCGCCGCCGACACCCGCTGCGGCTAGATCTCTCGGCGCGCTCGACGGTCACGACACCTCGCTACGACTGGACGAGGTACGAGGGAGACCTGGGGCGATATTGCAGTGTCGACAGGAGGGGAGGGGGAGAGAGCTAGACAAAGTCGTACCCGCTGCGCACGAGGAGGACGAGGGCAGATCGTCAGGCTCTGTACACGCACGCTCGTCGCAACACACACACAGAGAGAGAAACGTGGGACGCACCCTCCAGCCGGGGGCGCAGATGGCGAGGCGAGCGTCGTCTTCCTGCGCGCGCTCGAGGGAAAAGTCTGTTGGCAACCCGACGTCCGGCTGATGGCGCCAAAGAGAGAAAGAGGGAACGTGAGCGACGCACTTTTCGCCGCTCGCGACGCTCGGGAAGCTGTTGAAGAGCCTCGGGTCCTTGGGCAGGGGCGACTCGTCAAAGTAAGGGTGCCGGAGCGCCTCGTCGGCCGTGATGCGCCGCTCTGGGTCGTAGGTGAGGAGGCGTTGCAGGAGGTCGAGGCCCGAGGCGGTGAGGTAGCGGAAGGTTGTCGAGAGGGTCGAGTATCTGCAGGACGGGCGAGGAGAGAGAGCGAATCAGGGTCGGTCGGCGAGGACGCTCGAGGACCGAAAAGTGGAGCGAGGACGCACGGTTGCGCAGCCTCGACGTTGAACGACTTGGCGTTGGGGAGCTTGCGGAACCCTGGCCACATCTCGTCGGTCGGGCGGCCGAGGAGCTTGAAGATCTGCGAGTGCGGGAGGGAGGTCAATTCTCGCTCTCAGGAACTGGTCCACCAACATCGACGCGAGAGGGGGCGCACCTGGTTGACCTGGTCGATCTCGCCTCGACCCGGGATGAGCGGCTTGCGCAGGATGAGCTCGCCAAAGATGCAGCCGATCGACCACATGTCGACCGCGGTCGAGTACTCGGTCGCGCCAAAGAGGAGCTCGGGGGCGCTGCGAGGGTGCAGAGGACGAGTCAGTGGCGCGTCGTGACCGCAGAATCGCACGAGACGAGAGAGGACGCACCGGTACCAGAGAGTGACGACGAGCTGCGTCATGTCGCCGAGCGGGTCGCCGTACGTCCTCGCGAGGCCAAAGTCGGCCACTTTGATCTGCCCGCGGTTGTTCATGAGGAGGTTGCTCGTCTTGAGGTCGCGGTGGACGATCCAGTTGTCGTGGCACATGGCGAGGGCCGACAGGAGCTGGAGCATGAGCGTCTTGATCTCGGACGCGAGGAAGGGTGTCGGCATGTTTGCGAGCAGGGTTTTGAGGTCGTGCTCGATAAAGTCCATGACGATGAAGACTCTGCGTACGACGAGGAGCAAGGTGAGTGGCGGCAGGACGGGCGAGGGGAGAGAGGGACGCACTGGGTGAGGGTGTCGCCGACGACCACCTCGCGAACGCGGACAATGTTGTCGTGCGGGACCGTCATGAGCGTCTGGATCTCGCGCAGGCTCGTGATCGGGAAGCCGTTCTTCTCCTTGTCCATCTTGAGCTTCTTGAGCGCGACGATATCGCCCGTCGTCTTGCACCGCGCGCGAAAGACGATGCCGTAGCTGCCCTCCTCGATCTCGTTCAGCCGCTGCGGGGGGCAGAATCGTCAGAGCTCGGAGTCGAGTGAGAGGGACGAGGAGGCGGGACGCACCTCGTAGGAATAGACGGAGCGACAGCTCTCGAGGAGAGGGTGCGCCTCCCTCCCGCGCCGAGGTATCCGCCTCGCCCGCCCCTCGAGCCGCGCCGGCGTCCTCTCCCTGCTCGTCGCACTCGCACTCGCGCTCGCCGTCACGCTCGCCTCGGCTGCGGCGGCGCGCGAGGCGCGCTCCTTCTCGGTCGCGAGCCGGGCAGCGAGTGCGGCCTTCTTTGCGCGCTTGAGCTCGCGCGCTGCGGCGAGGTCGGCCTCGTCGTCGTCCCACTTGGACTTTTTGCGCGGCGGCGGCTGGTCGGCTGCACGCGCGAGGGCTGTCAGCGGGTGCGTTGGCCGAGAGGAGGTGGGGAGAGATGAGGACGCACACATCGCTCGAGAGGCTGGCGCTGCACGGGTGAGAGCTCGCTGTGCTGCTGCAGGTAGCTGGACGCAGTTGCGAGCTGTCGGCAGAGCTCGAGAGGGTTGGCGCGTCGACGGTACAAGGTCGACCTCGTCGCCTCCTCCTCGAGCTCCTCGAGTCGACCAAGGCTCGCTCGCGTCCCTCGCCGTCTGCAGCCCTGATTGCTCTGGCCGTAGCTGTCTCTGCGAAGCCGTTCAATCTCGGAGTGCTGGAAAGATAGTGCGATTGCGCGCTGCGCCGCCGGTCAGGGTGCGACGACGCGAGACGAGCGGGAATCAGGGGAGAGCGAGGGTGGCTACGGGGCACAGAGAACGACGGGAGGGTGACAAGGGGGAGAAACAGATGACGAAAGGTTGCGAGGGGGGGAATCGACAGGGTCCAACATCGACAGCGAGAGCGAGACAGGGAGAGGGACAGGGAAGGGGAGGAGGGGAAGGGCGGCGTCGGCTAGTCGCGCTCTGACGTGTCGCCGAGCAAGCTCGACGTCTCGCTCGCGGTCAAGTCGTCCTCGACTGCTGCGCGGAGAAAAGAGCGAGTCAGATCCGAAAGTGCTCGCACGACAGGGGCTCGAGGAGGGAGGAAGAGGGAGGGGGGGGACGCACCGAGGAAGCTCGCACGGCCGAGCACGACGACGCCCTCGCCCTGACCCGGATCCTCCTTGGCGAGGTTGAGGTTCTTCATGCACGACATGGCGACGAGCGCCGGGCCGAGCATGGCGAGCGCGAGCCAGTTGAGGATCTTCTGCACGTCGACGTACGACCGCTCGATCGCGAGCCGGGTCGCCGAGCCCGGGTCGAACGACAGGGCGTACGGGAGCGAGGCAATGATCTGCTGGATCTTGTCCCAGTCGTCGGCGGCGAGGTGGCGCTGCAGCCGGCTCGGGAGGGCGGTCGACCACACGGCGCCGGCGATGGACCCGCCGACGGCGCCGCCGACCTGCGTGATCGTAAGGAAGATGGCGGTCGCGATGGCGACGTCTGCAGATGCGAGAACGCGGGTCAGGCACCGTCGAGGGCAAGAGACGAGGGCAAGAGACGAAAGCGAGAGAGAGCGAGAGGACGGACCCTGGTGCTCAACGACGCCCTGACACCCGATCTGGACCGCGATCGTCGTGAACCCGCCGCCGACACCGCCGACGACCTGGCTCATGACGAGTTCGAACGTCGACGACTTGAGGTCGCGCGAGCGCATCATGAGCCACACGCCGACCATGTGGATCAGGACGCCGAGGATGCCGAACCACTTGTACCGGTTCGTGAGCTTGGCGAGCGACCCGGCGACGATGGCGGCGACGCAGGCGGCGAACAGGTACGACTGGCTGTGGAGGTGAGGAGAGTGGGCGTCAGGAGGGGTCCGAGGGAGAGGGGAAGGCTCGAGAGAGGGCGCACCTGATGTATGAGGCCTCGGCCGGCGAGTGACCGCGAGCGACTCTGCGAGTGGACGGCGGCGCATGAGTGCCGGCTGCTGATGGAGGAGAGAATGAGGGACAAAGGACGCACTGGAGGAAGCTCGTGAAGAAGCTCTCGTAGCAGAACTGCGAGATGAAATGGAAGAACCCGACGAGCGACCCGCTGAGGATGGTGCGGTTCTCGAGGAGTCGAGGCGGCAGGAGCGGGCTCGCGGCGTACTGCGCCTCGTAGTAGCCGAAGAAGACGAGAATGCCGAAGCCGGCGACGATCGAGACCCAGATCTCGGCTGCGCGCAGACGAGGAGGACGAGTCAGGGACGGGTCGACGATGTCGATGGACGCTCCGAGAAAGAGAGAGAGAGAGAGAGAGAGAGAGAGAGAGAGAGAGTTGGGACGCACGCTCGGCCCAGCTGTCGGGAGTCTTGGTCGCGAGCGTGAACGGCAAGAGGAACAAGATGCTGCCGGCCGTGAGCGTGACGAGGCCGACGACGTCGAGGTCGCGCCACAGCTCCTTGGCCTTGCTCCACGTCGTCGCGTTCCACCGCTGGCGCTTGTCGAGCTCGTGCGCGGCCGCCTCGGCGGCGCTCGCCATGCGGCGCTCGTGCGTCGGCAGGCGCTCGTGGTTGGTGACGGGCGCGCCCGTCTCAAGGTCGACGTCGACGTCGGCGAGCGGCGAGTGATGTGCGGGGAGGTGCTCGTGCTTGAACCGAGCCGGCGAGGTCGAGGGCGAGGATGGCGAACGGTGGTGGTGGTGGTGGCTGCTCATCCAGCTCGCGCGAGTCGCAACGCCGAACCCGAGGTCGCGTGTCGTCGGCTTGCGGCCCTCAGCGAGCGCTCGGCGCTTGATCTTGCGCCACTCGAAGCACAGGGTGAAGAAGAGGACGCAGGCGACGAGCGGGAGGAGGGTGCCGAAGACGGCATACGCCGCGCGGTACCCTGCCGGGCCTTGGCGCTGAAAGAAGGCGCCGAGAGGAGGACCGATCCAGGTCGTGAGGATCCACGGGAGCGAGATGGTCGAGGTGATGAGGCCGCGGTTCGCCAAGGTGGTCGTGTCTGCGGGGCTCGACTCGTCGTCAGGGCTCGCCCGCTCGCTCGTTCGCGACAGGGAGAAACGGGGGACGCACCGGCGACGATGATCTGCTGCGCAAGCTGGATACCCTGCCCGCCGAGAGCAGAGAGGGCGCGAGCGGCGAGGTACACGCGCGCGTTGGTCGCCGCCGCCGTGATGATGTACCCGAGCGAGTACAGCGTCGCTGCGAGGCAGATGCCCTCGGCTCGGCCGAACACGTCGAGGATCTTGGTCATGGGCGGCTTGCCGACGGCGTAGCCAATCTGCGAGGATGCCGGCGAGGAAGCGAGTCAGTGACAGTGGTGGCGAGAGACTGAGAGGGAGAGTCGGGACGCACCGACATGACAATGACGACCGAGCTGAGCATCGAGTGCTCGCCGAGCAAGCTCAGGAAGTAGGGCTCGACGGTCGGGATCGTGTTGCCCTCGAGCGAGGTGAGCGTCGAGATGAGGTAGAGCCTGCGGAAGGGGGGCGAGGACCGAGGTCAGGACGGGTCGGCGCTCGTCAGACGCAGAGAGAGAGAGAGAGAGAGAGCGGGACGGACCCTGCATAGATGGTGAACAGTCCTCTTCGACCCCAAGTCCTCGCCATGAGCTCCATCTTGACGACGCCCCACTGCTTGTCGCCGTCCGAGGGCGCGATGTGCCCGCTCGCCCGACCGCGCTCGCTCGCCGCCGGCACCTTGCGCGGTCGTCGCGGCGAGCCGTCGTACTGCGTCGTGCTGCCCCACGGGTTCCCGCCGTCCTCCTCGCCGAACCCTGCCGCGGCGAACGGCGAGCGATGCGCGCCGCCGCCGCCGCCCTCTCCATCGCTCGGCTCTGCGTCGCCGTCCGAGTCAAACACGTCGTCGGTCGGCCGTCCATCTGGGCCGGTCGGGACCAAGCGCTCGCGACTGCGCGCCCACCGCCTCCTGCCGCCGGCGCCCGCCCCGCTCTGAGCGGCCGCCTCGGCCTGGGCCTGGCGGCCGAGCTTTGCGCGCAGGATGGCCTCGACGTCGTCTTCTGCTGGCGGGAACGAGCCGTAGCTCGTGCTCGGGGTGGCCGAGCCGCTGGTCGAGCCCGTGAGGGTCGACGGACCGGCGACAGCAGCGCCGCCGGGCGTGGTCGCCCCGGCACGCGAGGCCGAGTCGGCGCGGGCGGCGTTGGTCGACGCCGTGCGGGCGAGAGAGGCGGGCATGGTGGACGGTGGGGCGGGAGCGCCCGCTGGCGAGGCGGGACCGGGACCGAGGTGAAGGAGCGAGGCGGGTGGAAGGGGGGAGCGGGTCACGAGTGATGTCGTTGCTGGTACTGGCGGTCGGGCTGCGGTGTGCGCTCGAGGGTGGTGCGGTGGTGCACTGGGTGCGGCTGCGTAGCTCGTGCGGAACGGGCGAGCGGCGGGCGAGGGTTGTCGGCGGCGGTGCGGCCTCCCACTGGGCCGATGATGGACAAGGTGGCGATCCAGGCGAGAGGACGGCGGCTGCTGTGTGCGCTCCTTGTGTGTCCAGTAAGAGCGAGCTCTGTGTGCGAGTGCTCGGGTGCTGGAGGGTGAAGTGGAGCGAGGCGAGGGGAGGCGGCTGACCGTCGGGCGACTTCGCCTCGCTGCCCGTTTCGGAGGTCGACGAGGGGAACCGACCGCATCTGATAACTCTCTTTCACCGCTTCCCACCGCTCGTTCTCGCTCGATCTTTCGCTCGAACCATCGGCAGCGACGCTCTGCTGCTAGCCTCCCTGGCCGGATTCCAAGCCGAGGCCGTGCGCCCGCTGCAATCGTCGAACTTGGCTCTCCCGACTCGCCCGACGCTCGCTCTTTCCGTCGCTGCTTGGTCGACAGGCTCCGAGTCCACCTTCGGCACGGGCTCGGCACTCCTCTCGCAGCTGCGAGCCTCTCGGGTCCCGCTCGCCGAGGCTCTGATGCCGTTCCCCAGCTCGACGGCTCGTGCGTCGAGTCTCGCTCGCCGACGTTCCTCCTTCTCTCGCTCGCCTGCCCTCGCCGACCCGGTCAAGCGCCGCCGTAGCAGACTCGCACTGCATTTCACTCCCTTCTGCGTCGAGCAGAGCGCGCCCGCTAGTACGCGTCGCGCTGAGCGCGGTACTCAAAATCGTCGGGCTCGTCGAGCCCGAGCGCCTGGCGACGGCTCGGCCACGACGGGTCGAAGTATGGGATCTCGGCGAGCGACGAGATGCACGTACCGTGGCGGAGCACCTTGCCCTCGCGCTGCGCGACGACAGTGCGGCGAGGAAGGGTCAGTTTTGAGAAGGTGCGGCCGGAGATGCGCAGGGCGAGGGAGGGCGACACTCGTCGTAGACGGCGGCGTGACTCGAGATCCGGGTGTCGCACAGGCTGCGAAAGGGTACGAGAGGGAAAGAGAGAGGGTATCATTGCGGCGAGTCAGTAGGCGGCTCGAGGTTGACGAGGGAGGGAAAGGCAGGACGCACGTCAACCTGCGGCACGTCCACGTGCAGCGGATCCGCCCATCGATCTCGCCTTTAGACACAGTCGTCAGCGCACGCCTGAAAGGAGGAGCGATTACGAGCGTGAGAGGGTCGTCGACCTGGCGAGAGGTCGCCAGCGTGGCTCCGACTGTCGCGAACGGCCGACTTTGACCCTGCGCGCCGACGAGCTCGAGCACACAGCCGCAGCACACACTTCCGAGCTGCACTGCGCCGCTTCGAGACCGCGCTTGCCGGCTCGCCAGCGGTGGAGAGCGGCGCGCGAACGAGCATGCGAGGACGGCGCAAGCTGGCGTGAACGCGACAGCTCGCGCCGCACAGCATCAAATAGAGAGATGCAGAGAGCCTGAACGCGTGGCAGCAGCCTCAGAGCGTGACGTCGAGGAGGGAGGAGTCGAGAGAGATGAAGTCGGTGGTTGACGGAGACCCAGGCCGACCTCTCCCCACCACAACGCTCTCGTCCCGCTTCAGAGCGAGCTTGCTGCACTGCCGCTGCCCATGCCTGGCGACCCGAGCCCGAGCCCGCCGCGCAAACCGACACCGCACCAACCACCGCCCGCATCCTCGCTCCTCGGCCGCAGGAACCGCCACAAGCGCACGACCGACCCGATCGGCCCACCCACCGCCGTACTCGACCCGTTGGCCTACGTCGAGCGCGTCGAGCAGGCCCTCGACGAGGCGAGCTACCTCGTCGACGAGGTCGAGGCGGGCTGGGCTGCTCTCGACGGCGACGAGAGGGCCAGGCTCAAGAACCGGTGCAGGTGCGTCCCTCGACCTCCCCTTGTCTTTATGGTACGTGGACTGACAGCTGGATCGCCTCGCAGCGTCGCCGACCTGCTCGAGCAGACGTCGTCCACCTACGACGACTCGTGGGCGCGCGCCGACATCCACCAGTGGACCAACTTCCGCTGGCTACCGCCGCCACCCCTGTACCCTCACGAGCCCCAAGTCGACAGCGACGACGACGACGGCGCGACCCCTATCGCCCTCATGGACCCGCAGGAAGAGCACAAGGCGTGGTCCGGCGTGACGCTCGAGGGCCACCCCGATGTCGAGCGCTGCTTCGAGGCGGCCGAGCAGTCGTCTCTCGCTATCCTCAAGTGCGTCTCCTGAACCTCCAGCCCTCTTTGCGCGGCGACTGACCTTGTCTACCGAGTACAGGCCGCCGCAAGTCTGGCACTTTGTCCGCAAGAGTGGCCTCGCCGACTACAACGCACTCCCAGCTCTGGTGAGCACGCTCCTCTCTCGTTCTCTCCCTATACCTCGACGAGTGACTGACACGCCTCTTGCACCGAAACAGCGCCCGTCCAAGCCCGGCGGTCCGCGTCCCAAGATCCAGGACCCGCTCTCGCACCTCCTCTTCACCATCTCGTTCCACTGCATCCCGCGCATCAACGGCGTCCAGTCGCTCTCGTACCGCCAGGTCATCGTCTGCACCGGGTCCAACACGCTCGAGCAGCTGCGCGCAAACCTCACCGTCGGCGGCGACATCATCCCGGTCGAGGAGCAGGACGACGTCGGCTCGGATCAGGGAGAGGGGGACGACGACGACGACGATGACGAGTCGATGGGTCGCCGGGGGAGAGGGCGAGGGGACTCGGCTGGCATCCTTGGCGGCGAGGACGGCGGCGACCGGACGAGGTGGAGGAACGAGCGGCGCGAGACGGGCTGCGCGTTCGTCGCTGAGGGCCTCGTCTACGCCGACGACGACGAGAACAAGCAGAACTACGCCGAGTCCGTCCCCTCTCACTGTCTCGACTGGCGTCGGCGTCCTACTCGCGGAACTGACCCGCTCTCTTCCCCCTCGCAGCCTCATCCTCGCCGGCATCGACCAAGTCGACTGGCCAACCGTCGCCGCCACCTCCTCGACACCTGTGCAGCCCTCGAACGACTCGGACGACGAGCTCCTCCCGCTCGCCTCGCTCGGCGACGCGTCGCAAGCTCGCGCAGCCGCACGAGCCGCCGCCGCTCGTCCACCTGTCCGCCCTGGCGACCAGGGCAAGCCCGACCTCAAGGCCGGCCCGCCGCTCAAGGACGTCAAGATCGGCGACATGCCACTGCGCGTCGGCCAGCCGTACCTCTACGTCCACCAGGGCAACAACGAGCACATCTGGACCGTCGACGAGGTCCGGTCCGTCGGCCTCGTCCTTCCCCCTTCTCTTGCCCCCCCCTCGCGACGTCCCTCTACTGACTCTCGTCGTTCTCCACAGCTACCTGCACCCGTCGGACCCTCCTCCCTTTCCCCCTGCGACCGTCCACCCTCGCTCGAACGCGTTCCAGCGCTTCGTGTCGCCGTACCCCCTCACGACCTTTCTCTCGCGCACGCTCGCCATGCCGCGGTGCAGCATCTGCCGCCTCGACCCGGGCGAGCTGCACACGGTCGACGACGAGCTGTCGGGCGAGACGCCCGCCGTCCTGTGCCGCACCTGCTTCGACCTCCTGCACCCGATCCCGCCCGACAAGCGCCGGCAGCTCGGCCAGGGCGAGGCGCCACCGCAGGCCAACAAGCGCAAGCGGGCTGCGACGGCGGCGGACGCGCGGGCGGGGCAGGGCGGCGGGCCGGCGCAGCGCGACGAGGAGGAGGTGCCGGATTCGGAGCGCCGGGGCATGGACGGCGTCAAGGTCGTCCCTCTCCTCGTCGAGCCGTAGCTTTCTTGAGCATGCAGTGCACTCTGTCTTGCGAGTCGTCTGTGTGGTACCGTCTCGAGAGAGGCTGTGGGAGCCGTGCTGGTCGTTCGTCTGCCTTGTCCGCGAGCGAGGCTCGAGCGCACAAGGTTGGTCCGCCGACGACGGACGTCCGTCGGTCGGTCCGCTCGCTCCCCTTCTGACGCAAGATTTGTTCCTTCTGGCTGTCCGTCACCTCGCCGCTTTCGCTCGCGCTCGACCTCTTGACCCGACTTTCGACTTTTACCGTCGACCTTGCTGTGCCCTATATGTATGCTACCCGGCGGAACCTTGTCAAAATAGCAAATATTAATAAGGTCAGATGGCCGAGTGGTCTAAGGCGCCGGTCTCAAGGAAACCATTAGACTCCTTCCTCGCGTTGCAGAGGGTTCCGGTCATTAATTTGGCGCGGGTTCAAATCCCGCTCTGATCAACCCTTTTTTGCTGGCCAGAGCGACATGACTTTTTTCGCACTGCGCACCAGCTTTCGACTCGCTCGAGGGCAAGCTGTCTCCTTGCGCAGTTTTCGACGGACCTGGCTTCGCTGCCTGCTCGAGTGCGTCGTCGCACGATGGTCAAGCCGCTGTGGGTGTCGCCGAGGCGACCGGGAGAAGCAGCGCGCGTCGACGACGCAAGCGCTCGAGCCCCGTATCCTCTCGAACCTCCTCTGCTTCGTCGAGCCAGCGCCGCTCTCGCTCTCGCTCTCGCTCTCAGACAGCGACGATGTTCAGAGTAGATGCACTCGGTGTTGCACGGGGCAAGGAGAGGAAGGGGGGGGTATCAGGAGGACGACGAGCGGACGAGGAGGGGGTATCGAGGCCTGCGTGCGGGCCGGGAGGGGGAGGTACAACAGGACGGAACGACGGGGTCTAGAGGAAGTACTCGATCTGCGCGAGGGGAGGGGCCACAAGGAGAGGTCAGGGTCGGCGAGAGGAAGGAGCTCGAGAAAAGGGGAGAGCGAGAGGGGGTATCACGCACCTGCGAGGGCCCGGCCTGCGCCCCAGGCGCCGTCTGCTGCTGCTGCTGCTGCGGGCCATCGCGCTCGTTCTCGGGCGCGGCGTCAAACACGTTAAAGTGCTTCTCGCCGTTGGGCCCCACCTCGAGGATGCTCGCCATGTTGCCGCACCGGTAGCAGTAGTTGGGCGCCGACCACACGGTCGACAGCTGGTCGTCGTACAGGACCGAGAACCCTTCCATGCACAGCTGGTGCGCGCGCAGGATGTGCACCATGTTGTTCGAGTCGAGGAACTTTTTGACCACCTGCGAGCCGAACGTGTAGCCGGCGCCGCTGTGGAACGACGACGAGGGATGAGAGGGAGAGGGGGCGACGAGAGGGTCAGGATGAGGCTCGACAAGGACGAGGACGAGAACGAGGAGGGGAGGGACGCACCGAGGCGAGATCGAGAACTCCTCCTTGTCCGGGTCGGGATCGGACCACACGAGGTCTGCCATCGGGCCCTCGTGCGGGATTTCTGCGGGATTCGAGCGAGCGAGGTCAGTCAAGGCTCGACAGGGGCTCGAGAGACGAGAGGAGAGCCCGTCGAGGGCGACGCACCTCGGAACCGGTCGATGATCTTGATCTGGTCGAGCGTGTGGACCGAGGGCGACAGGCCTGCGGGGGCAAGCTCGAGTCAGTCTCGCACTCGGAACACGACACAAAGGGAGAGAGAGGAGACGGACCGCCGTGAACGCAAAAGATGCGGTCGTCGATGACGACCGAGAGGGTGAGGAAATCAAACATGTCGGTAAAGTACTGCCACACGGCGGGGCTGCCGTATTTGCGGACGCACTCGCTGTAGAAGCCGTACGTCTGGGTGACTGCGCGGCTCTCGTGGTTGCCGCGGATCAACTGGACGCGGTCCGGGTACCGCAGCTTGAGGCACGTCAGGAGCGAGATGGTCTCGACGCTGAACAGGCCGCGGTCGACGTAGTCGCCGAGGAACAGGTAGTTGGTGTGGGGCGAGTAGCCGCCTATCCGGAAGATCTCGATCAGGTCGTAGAACTGGCTGTGTGCGGCGGTCGAGGTGTGGGGTCAGGGACTGGCCGGGCTCGCGAAGAGGGAGAGAGGGCGAGGACGGACCCGTGGATGTCGCCGACGACGGTGACGGGTGCCTGGATGTGGACGACGTTGCTCTCGCGCATGAGAAGCTCCTTTGTCTTTTCGCAGATCTCCTTGAGGAGGGCCTCGCCGAGGAGCTTCTTGCGCAGGAGGATCGAGATGGCGCCATCGAGGTCGAGCATGGCGCGCGCGGTCGGTGTGGTGCGCTTTGCGGTGGCCGAGGCGGCGTGTGGCGGGTCCCAAGGCGCGGGTGCGGGCGAGCCGAGGTGGAGGGACGACGACGAGGGAGGGAGGGAGGGAGGGAGGTGGCGGAGGTGCGAGAGGCGACGAGGGGCGGTGCGGGTGCGAGGGCGGCTAGTCGTGGTTGCTGTCGGTGTGCAGACCAGTGCAAGCTCGGGTCTAGTGGATCTAGTCGAGGTGAAGGAGCAGGGACGAGGCCAACGCACCTTCATCAGGCTCGTTGTCCTTGTCCCCTCGCTCCCACTCTCTCTCGACCACGAGCATGCTGAGTGAGTCTCGCACCTGACCAAGCAGCCTCATGGCAACCACCTCGGCACACGCCCACCTCCTCGACGGCGCCCTCGCGGCCCTCGGCCCCCCTCCTCCTCCTCTCCTCGACTCGACGCACCTCTCGACCCTCGCGCTCATCGTCGGCCCGACCATGCTCCTCGACGCCCTCGACCTCGTCGACAAGCGCTCCGTCGCCCGCATCCACACCCCGTCCGGCGCAACACTCTACCAGGTCGCCGCCTCGTCGCACTCGGCCGCTCCTGGCGGCAGCTACACCCTGTACCTCGACGTCCCGCGAGGCGGCTACTGCCCGTGCCCCTTCTTCTCGTCGGCCGTCCTCGCCCCTGCACCCACCGCCCTCATCGTGCGTCTTCCCCCCTCTCCTCTCCTCCCTCTCGCCTCGTCACCCCCCACCCACCCCACCCCGCCCCTCCTCGCGCAGTGCAAGCACCTCCTCGCGTGCCGCATCGCCGACCGCCTCGACGCCTGGCACGACAAGCGCGTCGGCCTCAAGTGGGTCGCTGGGTTCGCGACCCGGTTTGGCGCAGCGGTGCCGGCGGGCGGGACGGCGGCTGCTGCTGGCGGCGGCGGCGGGTGAGGCGCCGCGCGCAGCTCGAGCCGGGACCGAGCGCGCGCAGAGTGCGTCCGGGGAGGGCAGCAGGACCGGCTCGTCGCCGCGCAGGGCGCTCCTCGAGCGGCGGGGCGAGCCGGTCGGCGGCCAGACCTCGTCGAGCGTGTGGCGGCGTCGAGTCGAGCCGAGCCGAGCTTGCTGGTCCGTCGCACGGTCGGGTTGCGCACGGTGGAGCGATGCCTGCTGCCGCAGCAGGAGACGCGCGTCCCGGCGGTGCAGCACGAGCCCCGCCTCGGTGGTCTCGAGGCGCGGCGTCCGGCTCTCCGTCGCGCTCACCCTGTCTCTGTAGCAGCACCCCTCGCCGCTGCAATCGAGACGTCATGTCGAGCTTCCTGTGCCGTGCGAGACCCTGCAATCGAGAGTCGCCCTCGCTCTCGCTCCCCCTCTCCTCTCGTCGCGCCCAGAGGAAAGATACTGCACTCGTCCTCGTTCCGGCCCCTTGATCTTCTACGCACGTCTCGTCGAGAGAGAGGGTCCCGCCTTCTACGGCAGGACGACGTACTTCTGGAGCTCGGCCGGGATCTCGTCGTACAGGCCCTTGCTCTCGAGCCACTTCTTGGAGAAGAGGCGCGACTGGTACCTGTTGGGCGTGCGAGGAGGCGAGTCAGTGAGGGGCGCTCGACGGCTGCGGGAGGCGAGAGAGGGGGAGGCGGCGAGGGGAGAGAGAGAGAGAGAGAGCGCGCGAGAGAGCGAGTGGACGCACCGGTACGCGCCGTCGCACAAGATGGTGACGACCCTGCTCCCCTTTCCGAGCTTGACCGCGAGCTGCTTGGCGGCGACGACGTTGAGGGCCGTGCTCGCGCCGACGTACAACCCATCGCGATCGAGGAGGTGGTACACCATGCGGATCGTGTCGCCGTCCGGGACCGTGAACGCGCCGTCGAGGAGGGCAATGTCCTGCGCGAGGTTGTCGGTCACGCGGCCTTGGCCGATGCCTGGACCGAGGGGCGAGGGGCGCGCGAGGGCGAGAGGGGGTGGGACGGCGAGCGCGAGGGGTGGGCGAGGCGGCGAGTGAGGAAGGGGAGGAAGGCGAGGGGTCAGTCAGGCCTCGAGGTCGCACCCACCAAGGCTGTCGCGCCGTCGCTCGTAAGAGCCGCACGACTGTCCGAGAGGAAGAGAGAGAGAGAGAGAGAGAGAATGAGACTCACCCTCGGTGATGCTCGACCCGCCCCTCTCCATCTTTCCCCTGTTGATCCAGCTCTCGAGCACGCTCCCGGGCGGGTCGGCCAACCAGCACTGGGTCCGCCCGCCGCTCAGGTCCTTGAGCGCGCGCGTGACGCCCGCGAGCGTGCCGCCCGTGCCCGTCGCGCAGATAAAGGCCTGGAGCCCACCCGGGAGGGACGAGGTTTGGGCGTGGATCTCGGGGCCCGTCGTGTGGATGTGCGCAGCGCGGTTGCCCTCAAAGTTGCTGCACGGGTGGGGGGATCAAAGTGTGAGCATCGGGAGGGACGGGCAGAGGGAGGATAGAGAGGGAAAGGGTCGAGGACGCACTCGAACTGGTTGACCCTGCGCGCGCGCACCGAGAGAGGGGACGAGTCAGTGTCGTACGCCGAGTCTGAGGACGAGAGGAACGCGAGACGCACCATGCGGCGTTGTCGAGGCGCTCGGCGTGGCGTTTTGCCTCTGCGGGGTGGGAGGGAGAGCTGGGTGAGCGAGGGGTCCGGGCTGGCGACAGCGAGACGAGGCTTCCAACGCACGGTGGTTGTAGTTCTCCGGGTTCTCGAACGCGACGGCTGCAGGGGTTGCGAGCGAGAGTCAGGTCCGTCCGACGTCAAGAACAGCTCGTTCGAGACGACGGGCGCCTCGAGCGATGCCGAGTCGAGGAGGACGGTGCCGACGCACCTGGGACCGGGTACACCTCTGCGCCGAGCATGCGCAGTAGGTCGATCTTCTCCTGGCTCTGGGTCTGTTGCGGTGCGAGAACGAGAGGCACGGTGAGGACTGTGCGCGCACGAGAGAGGAGAGGGAAGAGGACGCACGTTTGGCATGTAGATGACGCACTTGTAGCCCCTCGCGCGACACACGTGCGCGAGGCCAATGCCCGTGTTGCCCGCCGTGCCCTCGACGATGGTGCCGCCCGGCTGGATCCGCCCCGTCTTCTCGGCCCAGAGGACGAGGCCGAGCGCTGCGCGGTCCTTGACCGACCCGCCCGGATTCATGAACTCGGCCTTGCCGAGGATCTCGCACCCGGTCTCGTCGCTGAGCGAGTTGATGCGGATCTGCCGGGACGTGGGTGAGTCCTCGAGGCGAGTTGACGAGGTGAGGTGGGGGGAGAGGAGGGAGGGGGACGCACGAGCGGGGTGTTGCCGATTGCGCCGACAAAGCCGTCGACGGGGAGCGAGTGCGGGTGAGGCTGGAGGGGCGTGTTTGGGTAAGGGGACGGCGGGTTGTAGGGCTTTGTGGCCGCAGGCGAGGACGACGAGGCGGCCGAGTGGACGAGGGACGAGGCGCGCAAGGCGGCGCGCGCGGGCAGCGAGGCGCGCAGGAGCCTCATGGCAGCAGTGCGTGAGGGTGCTCGAGGTGCGAGTAGCGCAGCTCGAGGGGTGCGGACCGTCGGGAGAGCCGATTCGGGCGATGGCGAGCACGAACGAAGATGAGGCGGTTCCGCTCTTCCTCGACCCCCGCTCCCACCAAGCAGCCATGTGAGCACCTGTGCACCTCGACACACTCTCTCGAGACCCAGCCCTGACCACCACGCGCCGTCGCAGGGCCCCTCCTCCTCAGCAACCCCAAATTACCCTGGCGATGCTCTTGAAGGCTCAGTACAACGACCCAGAGTCGTGGGCCGCCAACAAGGTCGTCCTCACCGCCTTTGCCACCTTTGCCGCCGCCGTCGTCGGCATCTCCCAGCTCGGCGACCTCCTCGTCCCGGTGCGCCCCTCCTCCTCCTCCTCCTCCTCCTCCCTCTTCTCGATCTCAAGAGAGCTCACCTTGCCCTCTCTTCCATGACAGGCCTTCTGAGCTCGCCGACACTCGCACCTTCCCTCTCCCCTTGTAGCTATGCCCACCCCCGACCGACCTATCGCCCCTCCCGCGTCTCGCTGCAAGCACGATACCCCGTTCTCTCGAGAGCCAAAGGGCGACTCTATGACTGCGTTGCACTCTGCTGCTGCGAGAGAATGAGAGAGAGAGAGTGCGTCTACCGACCAAAAGAAAGGCTCTAGTCGCTCCTGCTCTCGCGCCCCAGCTCGTCGTCGATCGCGCCCGGCCCACGCCCAGCGAGCGTCGCCTTGACGGCCTCGTACACGCCGAGGAACACGGCGCCGCCGCCCGAGATCCACAGGACGCGCGGCACGACGCCGCGGAACAGAGCTCGCGGGCCCTCGAGCGCGTAGATGCCCCGCATCGTCGCGAGGATGCCCTCGCCCGCCCTCGCCGCCCCTGCCCTCGCCGCTGCCGCGCGCTCGACCGCCCTCGCCGCCTTGTCTCCCGCGTCCGGGCCCGGCCCAACCGGCGCGCCCGCCTGTCGGAGCATGATGCGCGTCTTGCACACGTCGAGCGGGGTCGTGAGGCCCGCGGCGACGCCGCCGGCGAGCGAGCCGCACAGGGCCGCGTGGTGCGCGGGGAGGTCGCACACGCGACGAGAGGGTACGGTGCGCCGCGCGACGAGGACCTTGAGGCGCTCGTAGAGCGGGAACTGGAGGCACGTGAAGGGGATCTGGGGGCGGTGGCCGGTGGCGGCGGGGAGGGGTCAGTCCGAGGTGCGCGAGAGGGCGAGGGAGGGCGAGAGAGAGGGAGAAAGGAAGAGAGAGAGGCTAAGAGAGCGCACCTCGCGAGCGACGGTGCTCCCGAACCCGCGGTAGAAGCCTCGCAGGCCTTCTCGGGCCCACACTTGGCGCGCGACGTCGAGCGACGACGAGGCGGCGGCCGTCTGCGCGCGCTGCTTGACGACCTCGGTCGGGACCCGCACGAGACACGCGGCCTGTGAGGGGGGGAACGCCGAGGGCGCCGACGTGTCAGCTGTGCTGGACTGAGGGAGCGAGAGAGAGAGGGAGAGAGGGGGACGCACGACCTCGCCCGACGACGCCGAGAGCATGTGGAGCGCCGGTGCCCAGCTGTCGGTGCCGAGCTGCGGCACGACCCGGGGCAAGTGGTGCTTCGCGAGCTCGTAGCTGGTGAAGAAGAGGCTCGCGCCGGGCGCGCTGCCGACGACGGCGCTCCCGAGGCCGCGGTACACGCCCTTGAAGCCGCCGGCGGCAAAGAAGCCCTGTTGGGCCTGGGCGCGCGTCTTGAGCGTGTCGATCGGGAAGAAGAGCGTGTCGACGGCCGTGCCGGCGCAGGCGCCCGCGACGAGGGCCGAGGTGAAGCGCGAGCTGCCGGTCGGGGCGTCCATCGTGGGCGGACGGGAGGACGGGCGGGAGGACAGGCGGGAGGACGAAGGCGGCCTGGTCGGCGGGCGGGCGGACTCGAGGGCAGTCGGGCGGAGGACGAGCCGGAGAGAGGCGGACGGAGGAGGAGGAGAGGGGACGGCGGCGACCCTCGTTGACGAGGGTGAGGAAGGGCGCCTCGGTGGCTGGACAGCTGCAAGTCTGGCGGTGACTGCGGGACTAGTACCAAGGAGCCTTGTCGTGCGTGAGAGGGCTGGTAGCCACGGGTCGACTTCATCTGCTCCTCGCTCGCTGCCTCTTGTCGTCGCTCGACTCGGGCTCAAGCTGCGATCGAGCATGTCGAGCATCACTCACTCGAACCCGGCTCTCCACCGCCGCTCGTCCCAGTCGCCCACCCGCGCTGCCCACCACGGACACCACCTCCCGAGCCGCCTCCGCTCAAGCTTCGACGACAAGCCCGACCACCCGAGCCCACCGCTCGTCGAGTCGCCCCAGAGCACCGACACCGTCGTCCCAGGAGCTGGCTGCGCACAAGACGCCCCCGAGCCGCCCGCCCAAGACTCGTCGTCGTCCCCCGCACCTGCGTTGCATGACGTCGCAGAGGAGCACGCCGACAACTGGTTGCCAGACCCGCAGGTCGTCGAGCGGCCTGCAGCAGAGCGTGCGTCCCCCTCCCCCCTCAAGTCAGCGCCGGCCAAGAGCGCGTCGAGCTCACGCCCCTTGTCCCCACCTCCTCCCTCCCTCCTCCTCCTCCTTCACCCTCTCGCCCCGCGCAGAGCGCAACTCGTCGCAGAAGCTCGCCGCCGTCCGGGCCGCCCTCGCCGCGGCCAACATCATCTCGGTCCACCAGGACACGGACTGGGAGACGCGCCCGCCCGGCATCGACCCACGCCGTGTCGACATCCCCGACCTCAAAGGCCGCGTCGTCATCCAGGTCGCCGACTATGCCGCACACCGCGCAGAGTTCTCCGTCTTGACCAACGACACCCTGCCCGACTTTCTCGCCCAGCCGAGGCCCGAGTTTGCCAAGGTGCGCACCTCGTCCTCTGTCTTCCTCCTTCCTGGCCCGTCCAGCGTCCCTTACTGACTGGCTCTGTGCGCGTCTCGCAGGTCCGCTGGATGCACGTCAACGGCCTGTCGTGGGACGTCCTCAAGCCGCTCGCCCTCCACTACGACCTGCACCCGCTGTCGCTCGAGGACATCCTGCACTCGAGCTCGAGCTCGTCGACGCGGTCCAAGATCGACTACTTCCGCCAGCACCTGTTCTGCAGCGTCATCGTGCACCGCACGCTCGAGCAGGGCACCGCTAAGGACGTCGAGCTTCCCGAGGACCCGACGAGCGTGAGCCGCAGCACGACCAAGGCGCTCGGCAAGGGCAAGGCAGCGAGCAAGGACCGCGGCGGCGTGCGCGCGTTCGGGTTCCACCACCACCGCCGCGACGAGGAGGCCATCGTCGACTCGGTCGTGCCGCCGTCGCTCGTGCCCTCGTCGCAGACGTCGCTCGGCGGGCACTCGCTCGTCCCGAGCCAGGACGGCAGCGGCATCGCGACCCCGCTCGCCGTGCACGCCAAGAGCTACTCGCAGTACCGCCGCAACCTGCGCGAGGCGTTCAAGGGCGTCAAGCGCGACAAGGAGGGCGAGAGCCCGAGGACGCTCAGCCACAACCGCACGGGCCTCTCGACCCGGTTGAGGGGCGGCAAGCGCTCGAGGCAGAGCAAGAAGGAGGAGGAGCGTGCGGCGGCGAGGTGGACGGTCGCGGCGCTCACCAAGGACGTCAAGGTGCACGTGCGTCCCCCACCTCTCCCTCCCTCTCTCTCTCGGGGACCCGCACTGACCCGCATCGCCTCGTCACGCAGATTCACGTCGAGCAGCTGTCGTGCTTCCTCCTGCGCGACGGCACGGTCCTCTCGGTCTCGCAGGACCAAGGGTACCACCACCAGATCTCGAACCTGTTTGAGCGCATCAACATGCGCGACGACATCCTGCGCGAGTCCGAGGACGCGAGCTTTGTCCTCCAGGCCCTGCTCGACGTCACGGCCGACGACGCGCTCGAGATTGTCGACGAGTTCCGCGAGCAGTTGACGACGCTCGAGAGCCGCGTCTTGTCGAGGCCCGACATGGACGACGTCCGGGTGCGTCCCCCCCTCTCTCTCTCTCTTTCCCTCACTCTCCCGTCACCTCGTCCAGCACTGATCTCGTCCTCGTCGCCGGCAGCACCTCCACATCCTCTCGTCGCAGCTCATCCTCCTCAAGTCGACCCTCACGCCTCTCCAGCTCCTCCTCCAGGCCCTGCGCTCGCAGGACGACGCCAAGGCGGCCGCCGCGGCCAAGATTGACCCGTCGCCCGCGCCGACGCGCTCGGCGAGCCCGACGGGCGAGCGCGCCAACAACGTGCGCGTCCAGCGCCGCGGGTTCGTCAGCCACGAGGCGAGGCTGTACCTGTCGGACGTCATGGACCACATGGACAGCACGTTGAGCTCGCTCGACTTGTTCAGCGACCTTGCAGAGAACCTTGTGCGTCCCTCGCGTCCTCTTTTTTTGCACCCCCGTCGTCGTCGAGCCTCGCCCGGACCTTCCGGATCCTCGTGCGCACTCACTGACACCACGACGCCTCGTCTACAGATCGCCTTCACCTTTGTGCGCCTCGTCGACCCTCATCGGCCCACCCCTCACCGGCGTAGAGCTGACCTCGTCTCGATCCTCCCTCCCTCTCTCGCTCTCTCCCTCTCTCCCTCTCGCCTTCCTTCCCTCCTTTCGCCGCCTCGCCCGACCCGCAGAACAACCTCTCGTACTCGTCCAACGCCTACATGCAGGCCCTGTCGGTCGTCAGCATCGTGTTCATCCCGGCCACCTTCCTCTCGTGAGCACCCTCGTCCCTTTCTCGAGATGGCGCACCCTGGGGCTCGAGCGTCCTGACCCTCTCCTTCCTTTCTCCCCCTTTCCTCTCCCTTGCAGCTCCTTCTACGGCATGAACTTTGTGCGTCGTCGCTCTCTCTGCTTGGGCGGGCTCGTGCACGACGCTCGCCCTTCGGGGTTTTGACCGTCGCTCTGACCCGGTGCTCCTCTCTCGCAGTCGACCGGCGCGTTCGTCGACGAGCTCGACCTCGGCGTGCACCGCTTCTGGTCCATCGCCATCCCCGTCTCGGGTGCGTCGGCCGGTTCCCTCCTCTGCGTCTGCCTCTCTCGTGGCGGTCCTCGACACCGTCCCAGACCTGACGCTGCACGGGGCGTTCGCCGCACACAGTCGCGACGACGGTCCTGTTTGGGTGGGGCTACCTCGCCGAGATCATCAACCGCTTTGGGCGCGACATCTTGCGCATGAAGCACCGCATCGTGCGTCCTCGTCCTGTCCTCCCTCCCCTCCTCCTTTCTCCTCGCCTCGAGTCTGACCCCTCTCTCTCGTGCCCTGCGCGCAGCAAATCGCGAGCCGGCGGTCCGACAGCAAGGACAAGGCGCAGTGAGCGCGCTCTCTCGCGCTGGCGACGGTCGACCGGTTCGACCCCGCATGGGCCTCCAGGTCGAGTGGGAATGTGGCCCGCGTCATGCTTCCTGCCTCGCTCTTCCTCTCTCTCTCTCGCATGCGCCCTTGTACGCGCTGTTGTTGTACTGTAACTACCACCTCGAGTTGCACGCGATAAAGGTACGGCTCGAGAGAGAGAGAGAGCGAGGCGAGGATCTGCAGGTCCGAGCGAATTTCGATTGTCGTCGTTCGCCTGGCCCGCGACCCTTTCTGCTTGCTTCGAGGCGGTGCTGCAGATCCCCGCAGCGAGGAGGGAGAGAGTCGGCCCTTGCAGAAACGCGAGACAAACGCGCGAGCGGCTGCGGACTCGGACGAACGTGAGCGAGCGACGTGACGTTCCGGAAACCTCCTCGCCCGCTCCTGTGCGCCGCCTGCTCCCTCCTTTCCCCTACTGCGCTCGTCTGCACGCTCAGGTGAGTCCTCTCGCCCACTGCCTTGCCCTTCGCACGGCGCGCCGAGCGAGCGACGAGGGGAGCTTGCCGCCAAGCTCGCAGCGTCGACGGGCCGTCCGTCCGCACTCTCGCTCGACCTCGTTCTCGTCACCCTCGGCCCGGCTCGCCTGCGTTCGAGCTCGCGCGCGCAACGACCTGACCCTCCCTGCCATGCCCTCCAGCCCTCTCGCCCATCCACCACACTCGATGCCGTCTCAGCCGCTCAACCGCCCGCGAGGCCTGTCCCGCCCGGCACCGCCCTCGCGCCTCATGAGCTCGCGCGCCCAGGAGGTGTCGCTCCAGGAGGAGAACCTGCCCGAGACCGAGGACTGGGAGCCCGTCAACGGCGAGCCCGAACTCGCCCTCGCCGACATCCAGGGCGCCATCGTCAAGTGGGAGGAGGAGCTCAAGGTCCGCGGCAGGGAGATTAGCGGGAGGACCATGTGCGTCTCTCTGTTCCTCTCTCTTTCTTTCTCTCCCTGTCTGTCGGGCGCGTGCGGCGGATCGTGGCGCGAAGGCGCAGGTTGTCGGCGGTGCTGCGGGAGGCGGCAGATGACGGTGGGCGGGCGAGGGCGGTCGATCACGGTCGAGACGAGCCCTGCTACAGAGCGAGGACGTGCGAGGAGCTGAGCAGGCTCGCAAGAGCCGAGCACGATCATCCACGGGCGCGAGGAACGAGAACTGACTTGTCGCCCAACGTGCACCGCCCACAGCGTCGTCACGCACTCGCTCCCCTGTGCGTCCCCTCTCGCTCTTCTGCCTTGGTCGGTCGAGCACGGAGACTGACTCAAAGTCCCTCCACGCAGATGTCTGCACCCTGCACAAGACGGCGTCGCACTCGACCAAGCTCGACTCGAGCATCCTCCCCGACCTCGGCGAGGAGTCCGTCTTCGGCTCTGGCGCCGTCACGCCGAGCGAGATGCCGCAGGGCGACCCGATGCTCCGCGCCCGTGCCGTCCACTCGCCCATGAACCAGAACCAGACGCTCCACAAGCACAAGATGCCGCCCTCGTCCTTCCCCGACCCGAGCAAGTCGCTCCGGCCCTCGTTCCACCCGGCACTGCCGCCCTCGCGCGCCGCGAGCCCCGACCCCGAGTCGCTGCGCTCGTCGTCGCACACGCCGGCGCCGGGCGCCATCAAGCCGCAGCAGACGCACCGCTGGGTCCTCCACCCTCGTCGCGGCCACGCCGCGCTCAACTCGGGCCTCAAGAGCCTCAAGGACCGCCCGCTCGTCGTCGTCGGTCGCCCGGACGACCTCATGGACGCCGACGGCGAGCTCCTCGGCCAGAACGCGCTCAGCGACGACGCCAAGAAGGACCTCGAGAAGGGCCTCAAGAGCATGTCGAACGAGGGCGCCGAGGGCATCGGCTGCGTCCCGGTCTGGCTCGACGACAAGCTCCACCACAGTGCGTCCCGGCCCCTCTTTGTCATTCTGCCCCCTCGAGGACGTCTCGCCGTCGCCGTGCACGAGCCTGTCACTGACCCTCCCCCTCTCCTCGCACGCAGGCTTCTACGAGGGCATGTGCAAGGAGTACCTGTGGCCCATCTTCCACTACCTGTCGCTCCCGGACAACATCTCGAAGAAGTCGGAGCAGGCGGCGTGGGACGCCTACTTCGAGACGAACATGGTTTACGCCAAGCGCGTCGCGAGCGTGTACAAGCCGGGCGACCTCGTGCGTCCCACTCTCTCTCTCTCTCCCTCCCTCTCCCTTTCGCGAGCGAGCAGAGGACTGACCTGCTCGTGCGCCTCGCAGGTCTGGATCCACGACTACCACCTCCTCCTCGTGCCGCAAATGCTGCGCGAGCTCCTCCAGGACCAGAACCCGTCCATCTCGCTCTTCCTCCACTGCCCGTTCCCGTCGTCCGAGTTCTTCCGCTGCCTCCCGCGGCGCGAGGAGCTCCTCGACGGCATGCTCGGGTGCAACCTCGTGTGCTTCCAGACGCACTCGTACGCGCGCCACTTCCTGTCGTCGTGCGTGCGCGTCAACGGGTACGAGGCGCGCGCGAGCGGCGTCGACGTCAAGGGCCGCATCGTGCACCTCGCCAACTGCCCGATCGGCATCGACGTCGACAACGTCGAGCACGACCGCCAGCAGCCGGGCGTCGTCCCCAAGGTCGAGGCGCTGCGGCGCCTGTACGCCGGCAAGAAGATCATCGTCGCCCGCGACAAGCTCGACCCGACCAAGGGCGTCCTCCCCAAGCTGCGCGCATTCGAGCGGTTCCTGCACGACTACCCCGAGTGGGCCAACAAGGTCCTCCTCATGCAGGTGACGAGCCCGAGCCCGGGCGACTCGCCGGCGCTCGCGTCCAAGGTCGGCGAGCTCGTCGACCAGATCAATGGCACCTACGGCTCGCTCGAGTTCCAGCCCGTGCACCACTACCACCAGACGATCGAGCGCGACGAGTACTTTGCGCTCCTGTCAGTCGCCGACCTCGCCCTCATCACGTCGCGCCGCGACGGCATGAACACGACCGCGATGGAGTACATCATCTGCCAGGCCGAGGCCAAGGGTCCGCTCATCGTGAGCGAGTTCACGGGCGTGTCGGCCGTCCTCAACCAGGCGATCAAGATCAACCCGTGGGACCTCGGCGGCGTCGCGCGCGCCATCGACTCGTGCCTCACCATGTCGCTCGACGAGCGCACGGCGCGCCACAGCGTCCTGCACCGCGCCGTCACGACCCAGACGGCGGCCGTGTGGGCCCACACCAACGTCCTCAAGCTCCTCGAGTCGCTCCAGGACGAGCAGGCGACGCAGAACACGCCCGAGCTCGACGAGGACGTCGTCGTCCACAAGTACACCCAGTCCAAGCGCCGCCTCTTGATGTTCGACTACGACGGCACCCTGACGCCCATCGTCAAGGACCCGTCGGCGGCGACGCCGTCGCCCGTCCTCCTGTCGTCGCTCGAGACGCTCGCGAGCGACCCCAAGAACATCGTCTACATCATCTCGGGCCGCGACGGCGCCTTCCTCGAGGAGCACCTCGGCCACATCCCCAACCTCGGCATGAGCGCCGAGCACGGCTGCTTCCTGCGCGCGCCCGGCGCCCAGCAGTGGATCAGCCTCACCGACGACCTCAACATGGACTGGAAGACCGACGTCGTCCGCATCTTCCGCTGTGCGTCCTCCTTTCGCGTCGTCGCCGTCCTCCCCCTCGCCCTCGCCCGGCAGGACGTCGCACTGACCCTCTCTCGCCTTCCCCCGTACAGACTACGAGGCTCGCACGCAGGGCGCGTTCGTCGAGAAGAAGGTTTCGAGCGTCACGTTCCACTACCGCAACGCCGACCCGGTCTTTGGCCTCTTCCAGGGTGCGCCTCGACCCTCTTCTCCTCTCTCTCCCCCTTTCTCGAGCGACGTCGACTGACCTCGCCCGACCGCCGTCCACAGCCAAGGAGTGCCAGGCCATGCTCGAGAGCATGCAGGAGAGCCTCCCGATCGACGTCCTCGTCGGCAAGAAGAACGTCGAGGTGCGCCCGGCCCACACCAACAAGGGCGAGATCGTCCGTCGCCTCCTGTACCAGCACCCGGACGCCGAGTTCTGCATGTGCGCCGGCGACGACAAGACCGACGAGGACATGGTGCGTCGCCGCTCTTTCTCTCTCTCCCTCTCTTCGACCTCTTGCCCGTTCGTCGACTCTGACCTTCCTTTCACCCCGTCCAGTTCCACTCGATGGCCCGCATCTTCAGCAACTACACCCCGGGCGCGACCAAGACGCTCATCTCGCCGCCCGACTCGTTCACGCTCTTCCCCTCGCTCGCCAAGACGGTCAAGCAGGACGCGTCCGAAAGCGGCGCCGTCCCGGACAACCTCAACGAGCCGGTCGAGAGCCACCTCGACCCGAGCGCGACGTTCATGATCGCCATCGAGGCCAAGGAGACGGCCGGCGCCAAGATGACGATGGCCAACGCCGTCCTCGAGAGGTGCGCCCCGCTCTCTCCCTCTTTCCACTCTCCGAGAGCGAGCGGTGACTGACTTTCACTCTCCTCTACCGCAGCCCGGCAGCCATGATCTCGCTCCTCGAGCGCCTCGCCAAGGTCACCAAGCAAGCGTGAGGCCGTTCCGCCAGCCTGTCTCTCCGTTCCGCAGCGCTAGGACGCGCTCCCCCTCTCCCTGTTCCTCTTTCTCGTGTCTCTATAGAGCTTCTCTTTCTGCAGTGGGCAAACGCAGTGTTCCGCATCTCTCTCTCTCGGACCGGCGCGACGAGAGCAGTCGAGACTGTGAGCATCTCGCAGGGCCCGTGCACGACAGAAGGCGCTCGAGCTCGCTCGTCATTGGTTCCTCGCGTGCGCTCTGCTCGTCTTCGCTCAATGTGTCTGTCTTGCTACGAGCCGGCAAGGTCGACAGCATCGGCGTCGAGGCCGCATGAGAGGCGACTGAGAAGGCTTCCTTGCGAGCACTCGAGTCGAGAAGGCCAGCTGCGGGAGGGCAGGTGCGAGACGCGGTCGGTGAGCTGTAGAGGCTCGCGAACTTGCTCGGTCGATTGTGTAGCTGAGTATCCATGCCCGGCGGCAGGGAAGGAGAGCTCCTCGAGGAGGACGGCCTCGCGCAGCGCCTGTCCCTCTCGCTCTCGTACTCGCGCTGTTTGTCCGGGCGCCCTGTCGCTCAGGCTGTGGCACGCCCGCTGCAGAGCTGCGTCGACGCTCGAGTGGCGGGAGCTCGAGCAGGCCTGAGAGCGGACCCGATGCACGGCGCACGCAAGTCCATGCGACGCTGCTTGGGAAGGCCGAGACGAGGGAAGCTTTCGAGAAAACGCGCACGGACCGCTCGAAACGACGAAAGCTAGGCACACGGCTCTGTTCATGTCCTCGCTGCGCGTGTGCACCTGCGGGGGAGGGAAGGAGAGTACGAGGCGCCCGGACAAGGAGCGCGACGGCGAGGCGGTGAGCGAGGCGAAAGGGCTGCGAGGAGGTCCGTGCGAGGTCGGCGAGCCGCACTAGCTCTCCTCCCGGTAGACCTCGAGAGCTCGAACCACCGTTTCTCGCTCCGCACTCACATAAGGAGCGAGCGCGGCGCTGCGGCAGAGCGAACGCGCGCGTCGAGAAAACGCAAGTTGCGGCGCCCTGTCCTCGTCGTCGGACAACTCGCTCTCGAGCCGGCGCTTCCTCTGGCCAGGTTGAGAGAGACGAAAGGCGGGAATCGATCGACAAGCAAAGGTATCTGAGAACATCGAGAGGCGAAGAGGGGAACATGCAGAGGGGGAGGTGGTACAATGAGGGCGAGCCCTCACGAAAGCGCGACGGCAACGACGGCGGGATCTGACAGGGAAGGGAAGAGGACGTGCGAGAGAGTGCGAGGGCTCAGGAGCGACCGTTGTAGCTCGCGGGGTACTGCTGCGGCTGGTGCGACGGCTGCGACGAGGCGTGCCCGTTGACGTGGCTCGCCGGCGAGTGCGAGTGCGTGTACGCCGCGCCGACAGGGGCCTGCGACGGAGGCGGGTAGGCGGGCGAGCCCGACGGGGCACTCGGGCGCGACGAGGGGAGGCGGCTGAACGAGGGCAGGCTGCTGTCGCTCGTCGTCCTCGGCTTCTTGGCGGGCGGCTCAGACTCGCGCGGTGTCGGCTTGGTGGCGGCGAGGGCGGGCGACGCCATCGGCGAGTCGGTCGACTGGAGGGCGAGCTTCTCGTACCTGCGCGAGAGAAGGGGAAAGAGGGTCAGGAAAGGTCGCGCGGGTAGGGAGGCGACGAGGGGACGCACATCTCGCGGACGTATTGCGAGTGTAGCTTGGTGTCGCTCGGCGCAAAGTAGCTCGCCCACTTCCCTGCGAGGCGACGAGAGGGGAGAGAGTCAGTGCCTCGCCCGAGAAAGAAGGCGACGAGGAGGAAAGGGGACGCACAGAGGTGCTTGCGCTTCTTGGCCTGGTCGGCGGCCGTCGCGCCAAAGTTGGACACGACCTCGATGCGCTGCCCGATGGCGCCGAGCGACTGCTTGAGCTGCGTCACCTTCTCCTCGCGATCCGAGATGTCCTTGGCCTTCTTGAACCGCTTGAGCTCGTGCTTGACGGGACGCATGGCGTCCTTGCAGTCCTCCTCGTCCATGCTGCTGTACTCGCTCGCGCTCTCGTCCGAGTCGGAGTACTCGGGCGTCGCCTTGCGCTTCTTGACCTTCTTGTCGGCCGGCTTGGACGACGACGACGTCGGCTTGGACGCCTTGGTCGACCCTTTGCCGTCCTTGGACAGCTTGGACGGCTTCGACTTGGACGACGTCGAGGCGGCGACCGACAGCGAGTCGACCGAGCGCTCCTTGGACGGCTTGGGCCGAGGGACGTGGCTGCCGGCGCGAGGCATGTGCGTCTTGCTGCCGCTCGCCTGCGGGCCGTCGCCGCGCGTCGCGGCGTCGTGCGTGCGCAGCTCGTGGCACAGGTAGTCGGCACGGCGGACGAGGTGGATGGCGTTGGGCAGGCGCGGCTTCTGGTTCTCGGTCTTGGGCAGTTTCGCGTCCTCGAGGAAGAACTTGTCCTTGAAGCCGAGCGACGGGTCGTCGCGGATCTGCTCCCAGCAGCCGTGGCCGTACTTCCACACGCCGACGAGGAGCTTGGCGTCGTCGCTGATCGACCAGTCGCACGCCCACGCCTGGGTCGACTTGACGCCGTCGGCCGGGAAGGCCCACTTGACCGGGTCCGACGCCTTGCTCAGGTCTGCAGAAGCGCAACGAGGTCAGTACAAGGTGGACGAGAAGGGATCGAGAGAGGCGAGGGAAGCGAAAGGCGGACGCACACGAGTGGACGAGCTTGAGCTCGTCGGCGCGCTGGATGATCGTGTCGGCGTTGAGGTTGCTGACGCCGCGGAACGTGACGAGGACGGCCTGGTTCTTCATCTTGGTCGTCACCTCCTCGCCGGCAGCGCGCTTGCTGTCGAGGTCGTCCTGCTTCTTCTGGATCTCGGCGCGGCACAGCTTGAGAAGGTCGTCGACGAGCGACATGACGACGCCGCGGTTCTTGCCCTCGAGGCGAGCGTCCTTGACGATGGCGTCGTAGCGGTGGCGGATGTCGCCGAAGCGCTGCAGGCCGCGGACGAGCGTGCGGATGTCGCGGTCCTTGAGGTCCATCGAGCGCTGCGTGTCGGTCTTGCGCGGCGCCGACGCCTTCTTCTTGCTCGCCTGCGGCGACGACTCGGGCGACGACTCGCGAGAGGCGGGCGCAGGGCCGCCGTAGGCGCCGGGCGCAACCTGGGCGGCCGCACGGCGCGTGCTGTCGGCCTGCGCCTTGGCCTTGGCCTCCTTGGCCTCCTCCTCGAGCTTGGCCAGGGCGCGCTCGCGGTCGTCGGCGGGGATGATGTCCTCCCACGACGTCATGTCGGCCTTGACGTCCTGGACGGCGAACTGGTTGAGGAACTCCTCGCCGCCGAGCGAGGTGCCAGTCGGCGCCGTCGCCGTGTCGTACTCCTCGGCCTGGTTCAGGACGTCGTCGAGGTCGAGCTCGTCGAGCTTGGCCTGCGCGCCGTCCGACTTGAAGATGTTGGCGGCGCCGAACTTGAGGATCGACGACAGCTCCTCCTTGGTGTAGTTCTCGGGCTTGGTCGGCGCCGCCTGCCCGATGTTCTTGCCCGACGTGTCCATCTGGTTGACGACTGTGCGCAGGCCAGAGTCAGTACCCCGTCGCGTGTCTCGGAAGAGGAAGAGAGGGAAAGGGGACGACGCACTCGCGTACTCGAGGATCATCTTCTTGCGCGCCCGCTCGAGGACGTCCTCCTCGACCGTGTCCTTGGTGACGAAGCGGTAGACGTTGACGTGCGACTTCTGGCCGATGCGGTGAGCGCGCGCCATGGCCTGCAGGTCGTTTTGCGGGTTCCTGCGGGTCGAGATCGTCAGCAGGCTGCGAGACTGAGCGGCCGACGCCGACGAGGACGAGAGGCAGAGAGACGAGGGCGCACCAGTCGCTGTCGAAGATGACGACCGTGTCGGCCGTCTCGAGGTTGATGCCGAGGCCGCCGGCGCGCGTCGAGAGGAGGAAGACAAAGTCGGGCGAGTTGGGCGCGTTGAAGTGCTCGATCGACTTGCGACGCTGCTCCGAGGGGACCGTGCCGTCGAGACGCTGGTACAGGTAGCCACGGTGCGCGCAGTAGTCCGAGAGGATGTCGCTGCAGGACGGGTAAAACGAGGTCAGGCTCGAGTGCGGCGGGAACAGGATGCTCGAGAGAGGGGCGAGGACGCACAGCATGCGGACCATCTGGCTGAAGACGAGGACGCGGTGACCCTCGCGCTTGAGGCGAGCGAGGAGCTTGTCGAGGAGGACCATCTTGCCCGAGTTCATGACGAGGCCCTTGAGCGTCTCCTCGCGCGAGTCGGACCGCGTCTCGGCGCCCTCGAACAGGTACGGGTGGTTCGACGCCTTCTTGAGCTCCATCGCGATGTTGAGGAGCGACACGTTCTGGTCGGCGCCGTTGAGCGCGGCGTAGTTCTGCGAGGGCAGTTTGAGAAGGTCAGGGCGCGAGTCGACGAGGGCGGCGAGGAAGAGACAGAGGACGGCGACGCACCCTCGTCAGGATGTTCTTGTACCACCACGTCTGCATGTTGGACATCTCGATGCGGAGGTTGCGCTCGCTCTTGGTCGGCAGCTCCTTGATGACGTCGCGCTTGAGCCGGCGGAGCATGATCGACTCGAGCTTGCTGTGCAGGTCGCGGATCTTGGCCTCCTTCTCGTCATCTGCAGGCGACCATAAGTGAGCGAGGTGGACGGGAGATGAGGCGGGCAGGAAGAGGGACGCACCGTTGAGGTCGAACTCGCCCGCGAGCTCGAACCGGTCCGGGTGGAGGAAGTGCATGAGCGCGAGCAGCTCTGCGTACAAGGACAGGGACGAGGTTCAGGGCATGTGCGAGGGAAAGAAGAGGGTGGGGGGAGAGAGAGAAGGCGACGCACCCTTGACGTTGTTCTGGAGCGGCGTGCCCGTGATGAGGAGCTTGGCCGCCGCCGGGAACGTCATGAGCGCCTCGTACAGCGCCGACTCGGAGTTTTTGAGGCGGTGGGCCTGTGCGCGGGGCGCGAGCGTCAGTCTCGGTCGGCGAGAAGAGGAGGGAGGAGGGAGGAGGGAGGAGAGAAAGGCGGACGGACCTCGTCGACCATGAGGTACTGCCACTTGATGGCGCCGAGCTCGTTGCGGTCCTTGAGCGCGTACTCGTACGTCGTGAGGAGCACGTTGAACTTGGGCTTCTTGGCCGTCCCGAACTCGTAGTCGCGGATCATCTCGCGGCTCGGGCCCGTCCCGATGTACGCGATCGAGTTGAGGTCGGGCGCCCAGTGGGCGAGCTGGGCCTGCCACGCCGGGAGCGTCGACAGCGGGACGACGACGAGGAACGGGCCGTATTGCTGCTGCTCGTGGAACAGGTACGACAGGAACGAGCACGACTGGACCGTCTTGCCGAGGCCCATCTCGTCGGCAAGGATGCCGTTGTTGCCCTTGCTCCACAGGTACGCGAGCCAGTTGAGGCCCGTCACTTGAAAGTCCTTGAGCGTGCCGCACGACGCGACGTAGGCGGGCTCGGCCGTGAGCTTGACGAACGGCGGGCGCGTGCGCGAGTAGTTGGCGCTCTTGGCGGGCAGGTGCGCGCTCGCCTCGCGGTTCAGGTAGGCGTCGATGGCGGCGGGCGCGAGCTCGTGGACCTGGTCGTAGTTCTCCCACGTAGCGTCGCTGTACTGAAGGCCCTTCCACTTGCACAGGTACTCGACTGCGGGCGGGCAAGGGAGGAGATTCGGCGTCAGTGAGCGTGCCCCGACGTTCAGGAGCGCGAATGAGAGAGAAAGAGAGAGAATGGGGCGCACCGTGGTCGTGGTCGACGTCCTGGTTGGCAGGCGCGTCGCGCTGTGCGATAATGCGCTCGACGATCTTGTAGTGCTCGAGCTCCTCGGCCTTGCGCTCGCGGTCGAGGTGCACGGCCTCGAGGTCCTCGCGGCTCAGGTCCGGGTTGTTCATGAGCTCGATGCCCGCGTAGTAGACGCCCTTGATGTAGTTCTCGACGCGCTTGAAGCCCTTGAAGCCGCGCAAGTGCTGGTACGTCTCCCACGTGTCGTGGATGTGGCTGTAGCCCTGCCACTTGATGAGGAAGCGCATGTTGCGCTTGGGGTCGTCCTCGGGTTCGTCGACTGTCGCGAGGAGGAAGTGGGCCGAGTCAGGGTCGGGTCGGCGACGCACGCGAGAGGGGGAAGGGAGGTGAGGGAGGGGACGCACGCTTGGCGTCGTCGCGCTTGTGGGCAAACACGCCCGTCGATGCCCGTCGCCTGCAGCTGTCGTCGAGGAAAAGATCGTGGGAGGAGGTCAGGTCGGGCGCAGGGCGGGAAGGAGCCCGAGGAGGACGAGGACGAGGGACGCACGTTGCTCCTGCTCGACCGCCGACGCGTCGTACTCCCAGCCCTCGTCGTCGCTGTCGCTGATGCCGTCGAACATGCCCGACTCGTCGTAGTTGGGGAGCGCCTTGCCGTTGCGGCTCGAGACGCGCGGCAGCTCAAAGTCGCGCGCCGTGCGCTTGGCGGCGCCGCGAGCGCGCTTCTTCGGGTGCGTCTTCATGTTCTGGATGTAGTCGCCGTCCTCGTCGGTCGACGACTCGTCGGCGTCGTCCTCGTCGTCGTCGCCGTCGTCCTCGGACGTGTTGCGCCTCGAGCGGCGACTTGTCGCGGCCGCACCTGCGGACGAGCACGACGACAAGCGAGTGAGTGAGGGGACCCTGGGCACGTCTAGAGGAAAACGACGAGAAGAGGACGGAGGCCGAAGACATACTGGCACGGCTCTTGCCCTTGGTGCGCTTGCGCGAGCGGACGGCCTCCGAGTCGTCCGAGTCGGCGTCGTCGTCGTCCTCCTCGTAGTGCTTCTGCGCGTAGCGAGGACCCAAGATCGATCAGTAACCGTCGTCGACGTCTAGAGAAAGCCGTACGAGGGAAGAGGAGACGACGGACCTGCGTCTTGGTCGTCGCCGCACGGCCCTGCGAGGAGACAAGCTGGGTGAGCGCGATGCCGCGAGCGACAGAGGCTAGAGGTGAGAGCGACAAGGACGCACCGATCTCCTTAGCCCGTACAGGCTCGGGTCGAACTGGTCCGGCAGGTCGAGCCTCCTCCCACGACCGCCGCCTCCTCCGCCGCCGCCGCGCGCCGTCTCCTTGCCCTTGCCCTTGGCCGCCCTCGACGCGTGGCCGGGAGCGACGACGCCGTCGGACGAGTCGCTCGCCGCCACCGAGGCGTCGTCGTCGTCGTCGTTGGTCGCCGCACCGTCGTACGGCGCATCGTCCTCCTCGTCCTCGTCCGCCTCGTCCTGCTCCTGCTGCTCGACCGCGACGCCCGTGCCCGAGCCCGACGCCTCGCTCATGACCATGTCGTCGTCGCCGTCGTCCTGCGCGACAGCGGCCTGGCCGTTGTGCACCGGGTGCGCCTCGACCTCGACGGCGGCGACCGGCTCCTCCTGGACGGCGGGGACGATCGGGATGTCCCAGGCCGCCGGGGCGGCAGGCTGAGCGAGGGGCGCGACGGGTGCGGCGAGGGACGGGTCGACGGCAGGGTAGTCGGACGAGGGTGGTGGGGCCGCGGCGGACGCGACAGAGGGAGGAAGCGCGCCGGCGGCGGCAGCGCTCAGCGCGGCGGGGTCCATCGGGCGAGTGCTGGCGCGAGGTGGATGAAGAGCTGCAGGTGGTGCAACGTGAGCATCTCGAGGCGCGCAGGCGAGGCTCCGAGGTGACCTCGGAAGACGCGGAGAGACGGCGAGGACGCACCCGACAAGGCGACGAGGTCGGACCGACTCGACGGCTGTGGGCGGCGAGAGGCGCACAGGCGGGTGCAGTGGCGCGAGACGTGCGTCTGGATGCTAGGCACGCGCGAGGCGATGCGGTGTAGCGCTCGCGAGGGCGGGCTGAAGCGTCGTCGACGGCGGGGGGAGCGGCAGGAGGGAGAGGGCGACGACGACGGCGAGCCTGCCGAGCCTGGGCCGGCCAGAGTTTTCGCTCTCGCTCGCGAGGGACCGTGGCAACGCTTGCGAGACGCACGAGACTCGCAGAGACAGAAAGGGACCGCTTTGCAAGCCTCGGACGCTAGACAAGGGGGGGAGGGAACGAGGAGGAGGGTAGAGAGGGAAGAGAGGCCGGGACGAGGAGGCGAGCACGGCCCGAACGGCCTCGACGACGACCTGACGACCGACACGAGCCACCTGCGGCCCTGGCGAGCCGGTCGAGGGCGCGAGCGACGACCTCGCGGACGACGGTAGGGCCCACGACAGGCGCGACGAGTCCACGCGTCGGGCAGGCGCCAGAACGGCCTGTAGGCAGTCCCAGATCGACGACGACGACGCGACGGCGACGACGCTGTGCCGGATGCGGCGCATGTCGGGCGGGGTAGAAGGGGGCGAGGGAAGGGGATGAGGTGGCGGAAGGGGGAGCGAGGCGAGGCGGGTTTTGCGAGTACAGACGAGGGAAGGTCGAGCGTCGGGTGGCGGACGGCGACAGGTATTACGGCCGGGTCGAGGGGACGAAGAGGAGGCAGGGTACAGCACACAAGCGAGGAGGGCGCGAAACGAGGGAGGATGGGGAGGGACGGCGAGCGGTGGCGGGTGCGACGCGCTCACGCAGTCGTCTCTGCCGATGCCTCGGCGGGCGCGGCGTCCTGCTTGACGGCCTCGGCGGGCGCGTCCTCCTTCTTGGCGTCGCCGTTGGCGGCCGGGGCCGCGTCCTCCATGGCGACGTCGCCTGCGGGCGCCGCCTGCTCGTCCTTCTTGTCCTCGACGGCGGCGGGCGCAGGCTCGTCGGCCTTGGCCGTACCGGCGGCAGCGTCCTCGGCCTTGGGCTCGGCGGCGTCGTCACCCTTCGAGGCGGGCGCGGCGGCGGCGGCGTCGTCCTTGGGGCCCGAGGCCGGCGCCGGCGACTCGTTCGAGCCGCCGAGGATCGTGTTCCACTTGTTGGCGAGGGCCGACGAGCGCTCGCGAAACGAGTACTTGTCCTCGTTCGGGATCTGGCCGTCCTTGAGGAGGGCGATGCGCTTGAGGACCTTGGCCAGCTTGGACTCCTGCGACGCGAGGGCGAGTGAGCTGCATGTTCAGGAGGGAGGAGAGGAATGGCAGGGACGCACGACGAGCCACTCCTTCTTCATGTCGAGGCTCTCCATGGCGTCAAAGTACTCGGCGCACTTGTGCATCTCCTGCAGGCGACGGCGACGGGTGAGTGGGGCAAGGACGACAGGAGAGTCGGCGAGGGACTCACGTCGGCAGAGAGGTCGCCCTTGCCGAGGAAGGCCTGTAGAGAGAGGGGTCAATAACGAGGAAGGGGGAGGACCGAGGAGGAGGAGACGCACCTTCTGAAGCTTGTGGCGCCAGGTCTTGACCATCTCGGCAGGGTCGTCGGCTGCACTCGCAGAGTTTGTCAGGTTGCGCACGACGTAGATGTAGGAGGCTCACGCACTGTTGGCGTTGGTCGTCTTGGCCTTCTTGGCCGCCGGGGCAGCATCGTCCTGCAGGGGGAAGAGAGTCGGCTCGAGGACGCAAGGGAACTCGATAGGCAAGGGGCGACGTACCTTCTTGGCCGCCTTGCTGTTCTTCTTGGCCGCCGCGCCGTTGGCCGGGGTCGCGCGCTTGCGCTTCTTGTCCTTCTTGCCCTCGCCGTCGCTCGCGAGCTGGTCCTCCTCGCCGGCGAGCATGTTCTGCTGCTGGAGCGCCTCCCACTCGGCGAGCTGGTCGGCACGCTCGGTGCGCCACGCCGCCGGGTCCTGCGCCGTCTTGTACGCCGTCAGGAGGTCGCCCTTCTTCTTGTTGCCCGACGAGATGTACGACTCGATCTCGCGCGGCGTGAGGATGACCAGGTCGCGAGGCTGGAGGTACGAGCTGTGGGGGAGAGAGACAGTCAGGTGTCGGGACGGTAGGTACGGACTCGCCGCCCGAGCCGTTCCGGGCACAGAGAGAGGGGGAGGGCACGCACAAGTCGCCGGTCGGGAAGAACTGCACGAGGTGGGTGTTCTTGGCCTTGGGCGGCTTCTCCTTCTGGACCTTGACGGGTGCGTCGGCAACGTCGACGATCTGGCGGCGGGGTACGGGAGGGCGCAGGAAGGACGAGGACACGGTCAGTAGCCGGACCGAGGGTGCAAGGGGTGCGACGAGTCGGGGAGGGGTGCGGCGAGGTGCTCGAGCAACGCGGCTTCGTCGGCCTTACAGCTGTCCGACGCGGACGGGGCCCGAAGCGGCGCGCTCGACTCGCTCGGCGCCTCGAGGGGGAGGGGGAGGGGCGGGGAGGTGGGCTCACCTGGCCAGGCCAGCTCGGGAAGCCCTTGACCTTGCCGAGGACCTGTAGAGCGCACACAGAGTCAGTCAGTACCGTGCGCTGTCCGCTCACGCGTCGTCGAGCCGCCCCGAGACGCGGGTGAGCGTGACGGGGCGGCGAGGGTGCGAGGAGCGCCTCGAGGGACGGAGCGAGAGGGCGACGCACAATGTCGCCGACCGAGTACTGGTAGTTCAGGTCGCTAGCAGCGGCCGCGGCCTTCTTGCTGGGCTTGGACGGCATCGTGTGCGAGGTGTGGTCGAGGAAGGGGAGGTGCGGCTGTTTGGTCGGCGAGATGGGACGAGCAGTGAGTGACGGCGACGCGGTGGGAGGGAGGGGCGCGTCGCGCAGGGGGACGTACAGACTGCTGGCAACAGGTGGGAGGCGCACAAGCACAGACTGAGCGAGAGCGCGCGAACGGCGGGACCAGGGAGCAGAGGCCGCCGCGGCGAGGCGGGAGGGCGACCGATGGCTTCTCTTCAAGGTGTATCGCTGCGTTTCTAGCGAAGTGGGCTGCAGCAATACGCTGTCATACGTCGTGCCCGCCAAGAAAGAGCGCTCCAAGCTGCCGTTGACGGAGCGTCGCTCGGACCCGCTCGCTGCCGGCTCGTCCTGCCTTGGACCTGCTCGCGCGCTCGCACGGATGCTTTCCCGCTCGCTCGTCGACGCAGAGCAGCTATCCGTCGATGTCGGCGCGCTACGAAGCGGATTCTGGACGGCGACAGCGGGCTGCGTCGAGAAACGACGCCAAAAAGTGTCGCCGACGAGCGGGCTCGCACACCTGCGCCGCCGCCCTGCAAGAGCATACAGCGCACACGTGGTGTGACACACCGCGTCGACGGGAGAGCGTCCTGAGCAAGAAGGAAGAGCGAGCCCGAGGTCTGCGCGAGGCCGTTGGCGAGCGAGCGGGTTGAACGCGACTCTTAGCGGTCTGCGCCACAGGCCGGCACGTCTGCCACGAGAGAGAGATGCGCACAAAGCTTTGTGCCAGCATCGAGGAAGCGCAGCTCGAACAGCTCTGGCCCTGTAGCTCGAGAACAAGCAGGTTTCCGAGCGAGCGGGTCGCGGCGGCGGGACAGAAGCTTCTCGGCGCGCGCTCGTCCATACAAGCGGATCTCGAAGGGCAGTCCAAGCGAGCAGGTACGTGTTCGTAGGAGGCGCAGGCTTGGGCACAGGGTGCGGACCTTGAACGCGCGAGCGGCGAGAGGGGAGGTAGGCGCGAGGAGGCTGCTGCGAGCGTGCGCTCTAGCCGAGCAGCTTGAGGGGGCAGAGCGGCATAGCTGCGCTCGAGCAGCCGCACGGACGGGCCGAAGCGCTGCCCCACTGCAAGCCAGCCTCGTCGCCCGCCGACCCGCCTCGCTCCACCGCTCCTCCAGCTCGTGCCGCGCCGCTGCGCCGACGTGCGCCGTCTGCGCCGAGGGCGACTGGTCGAGAGTACCGCAAGGCTGCGTGGCGAACGTACGTGTCGGGCGAGCTAGCGTGGGCGGCGACGCGTGCGGCGGATCTTGCCGGAACTTTGGCGAGGAAGGAGGCGGCAATCCGTATCGTGCGCGGCAGGTTTCTGGCGCGTGCCGAGTCGCTCGGCGCGAGTCGCAGCTGACCTGCGTGGGCCCGGGAGCACAAAGACGTGCGAGTTGAGCAGAGGGTCGTCGCTTGATCCTCGTTGCTCGCTCCCCCGGTCGGCGCTCGCTCGTGGCCCCACTTGCGAAGTTTTAAACCCGACCCAGGCCGCGACCTTTTTTTCCCCTGCCCTCGCCCAGTCCGGGGTCGCCCTCTCTCAGCGCGCCGCGCTTGCCCTCAGCCCCAGTGATGCTCCGCTCCGCCCTGCGCTCGTTCTCGTCCTCCTCCACCACCACCCGCCGCACCTTCAGCCGCTCAGCCATCATGTCGGTCCCTATCCCCAACGACTTTGTGCGTCCCTCTCTCCCGACCTCGTCGTCGTCGTCGCCGTCGTCGCCAACCGTGTCTCCCGTACTGATCCGCTCCGACTCGTCCGCCACACCTCCCCGCATCTCTCTCTCGTTCCTTCACCTGATCGCAGAACAAGGACCTCTATGTCCCGCTCGCCCAGGCCGACCCAGAGATCCAGGCGCTCGTCGACCGCGAGGTGAGCACCCGCCACTTTCCCCTCTTCCTCCGAGTCAAAAGCTGGGCGCGGCTCGCCGTCGCGATCGCGCGCTGTGGGAGGACGGCCGAGCTTCAGGATGGGCCTGCAGGGTGTCGTCGAGCTTGTCGGCGAGGCGGCAGAGCCATCACGGGAGGACCGTGCGCGGACGACGCAGTCGGAGCTCGTCGGCGAGGCGGACCTCTCGCAATCCATGTGGGGCTCTGCGCGTCCGGCTGGAGGTCGACGTCGACGTACAGTGCGGCTTGACCGGGCGTGCGTGTCGAGGGAGCCCCAGCGCCGTCGAGCGCGAGCTGTCGAAGCCCCACTCGCAGTCGACGTCGCCCCACGACGACCCTCCTCGCGCTCAGGACACGTCGCTGACTGTCGCTCTCGCCCCTCGCAGACCTACCGCCAGTTCCGCGGTCTCGAGCTCATCGCCTCGGAGAACCTGACGTCGCTCGCCGTCATGGAGGCCAACGGCTCGATCTTCACGAACAAGTACTCGGAGGGTCTGCCCGGCGCGCGCTACTACGGCGGCAACGAGGTCGTCGACGAGCTCGAGGTCCTGTGCCAGAAGCGCGCGCTCGAGGCGTTCCACCTCGAGCCCAAGACGTGGGGCGTCAACGTCCAGCCGTACTCGGGCTCGACCGCCAACTTTGCCGCGTTCACGGCCCTCATCCAGCCGCACGACCGCATCATGGGCCTCGAGCTCGCCCACGGCGGTCACCTCACCCACGGCGCCTTCACCCCGAAGCGCAAGATCTCGGCGTCGTCCATCTACTTCGAGCCGCTCCCGTACCAGGTCGACCCGGTCACGGGCCTGATCGACTACGACGCGCTCGAGAAGAACGTCAAGCTCTTCAAGCCGAGGATCATCATCTGCGGGGCGTCGGCGTACCCCAGGGACTGGGAGTACGCCCGCCTCCGCGCCCTCGCCGACATCAACGGCTCGTACCTCATGTGCGTCTCTCTCTCTCTTTCTCTCTTTCTCTCTTTCTCTCCCGTCCTCGTCGATCTCTTCACTGACCGACTCGACTCGTCTGCGCAGGATGGACATGGCGCACATCTCGGGCCTCGTCGCGGCCCAGGTCCAGAACGACCCGTTCGAGCACTGCGACATCGTCTGCACGACCACGTGCGTCCTCCTCTCTCTCCCCTCGTCGCTCGACACGCCGAGACTGACGCGCTCGTCGACCTGCGCAGCCACAAGACCCTTCGTGGCCCGCGTGCCGGCCTCATCTTCTTCCGCAAGGACAAGGAGGCCGACCTCGAGAAGCGCATCAACGACGCCGTCTTCCCGGCTTGCCAGGGTGGCCCGCACAACAACGTACGTCCCTCCTCTCTCTCTCTCTCTGTGTGTGTGTCGTCGTCGAGCGGCGTGTCGAACTGGGTCCTGACGACTTGGCGCACATCACATCTCGCAGACGATCGCTGGTATCGCCGTCGCCCTCAAGCAGGCCGCGACGCCCGCCTTCCGCGAGTACGCGACGCAGGTGATCAAGAACACGCAGACGATCGGCGAGGAGCTCGTCAAGCACGACTACAAGCTCCAGACGGACGGCACCGACAACCACCTCGTCCTGTGGGACCTTCGTCCTCTCGGCCTCACCGGCTCCAAGATCGAGAAGATCTGCGACCTTGCACACATCACGCTCAACAAAAACTCTGTCCCGGGCGACAAGTCGGCGGCGACGCCGGGCGGTGTCCGGATCGGGTCCAACTCGCTCACATCGCGGTCCATGTTCGAGCCCGAGATGCGCACCGTCGCCGACTTCCTGCACCGCGCCGTCCAGATCGGTCTCCAGGCGCAGAAGGAGGCCGGGTCCAAGCTCCTCAAGGACTTTGTCGCGCGCCTCCAGGGCGACGGCGAGGCGGCAAAGGCGCTCGCCCAGTTGACCAAGGACGTGCACGAGTTTGCCGAGCGCTTCCCGCTCCCGGGCGTGCCCGACTCGGCGTCGATCAAGCGCGTCGAGTAGAGCCGTCGCATCGTCCCTCCTTTTCTCTCTCGGTCGTCGTCGTCGTCGTTCTCTCCCTCTCTCTCTCTCGCGGTTCAACACCTGTCTCTCTCTCTCTCTCTTCCCTCCCTTTCGTTACCCCTTTGTCTCGTCTAGTCCCTCCCCCCGCATGTGCAACCAAGACTTCAACAGAGCTGTTCAACCCACCTTGCCTCGTCTCGAGCGGTCCGTCCGTGCGCGTCCCTCGAAAGCTTCCCGCGTCCTCGACCTTCTCAAACCGACTCGCTCGGGCTTTGTCGCGCCGATTCTCGCCCTCTAGCCAGCTCAACCGTTCTGCTGCGGGCCGCTCGACCTGCGCACGCTCACGAGCGAGAGGAACGCCCGGACGCCTTTCCCTCACTGCTCGCTGCGGCGCGCGAGTCCCACAGCGCTCTCCTCATCTTTCGCTGCGCCTTCTGTCCGTGGTCGCTCTCCAAGAGAGCGATCGAGCAGAAGCGCGTGCCGCTCGTCTCGCGAGCGCGCGAGCGACGCGGGACCCGCTCGACTCGGCGCTCGACATAATCTCTCGACCAGCCAAAGAAGGGGCGACGGGACACAGTGCTCTCTCTCGCCTTCCCTGCCGCTCACAGCGCACGCACAGCTCATCGCCGGTCCGAGCGGGGAGAGCGTGAGCATGCAGGGAGAGAGAGAGAGCGCGCGAGCGACGAGCGCACGGTCCGCCACGGCGCTCAGAGCTGCGGCACGAGCGAGGGCGCAGCTGCGCTCGGGGGCGAGGTTCGACAGCGAGAGGAGTGTGCCGCAGAGAGGCGAGCAGGAGGAAGAGCGTGGTGGGACGAGCTGAGCGAGCGATGGAGCCGGCTTCGCCTCCTCGCGACGACGAGGAGCGCGACCGGCGCTCGCTCTCGCCCTCTCGCCACGACGGCCGCAGCGCATACGGACAACCGATCATTTTCACCTCACCTCCCTCCTCACGTCCTTCAGGCTCTGACCTCCCTCGACCTCGCTCCGAAGCGGCGCGGCGGCAGGACCAGGGTGTTTTAGGCCTTGAGCGCGTTCTGCAGCGCCTCGTAGACCTGGACCTCGATCTGGGCCTCGGCCTTCTCCTCCTCGGTGCCCGAGCCGCCGGCGACGCGCTGCGCCTCGGCGAGACCGGAGCGGATGGCCTGCGCGGGGGCGAGGGCGAGGAGGGGGAAGGGAGAGAGCGGGAGCAGGGTCAGTCGGAGGGTCGCGGACGCGAGAGAGGGAGGGAGAGGGGGCGCACCTCAGGCGAGAAGGCGTCGAGCGGGTCTGCGCGAGGGCGGAAGAGAGGGTCAGCCACAGTATGAAGACGCGAGACGGCGCGCGCGGGCTCGAGGAGGCCGGGCGGCCATTGGGCGCAGAGAGACGTTGACGTACACGCCTCGACGGCGTTGATGGTCAGGGTGTTGTTCTGTTGCAGGGGCGCAGGGCGTGTCAGCGTCCTTCCCACTTCTGCAGCCGAGGGGAGCTGCTCGCTACGCTCGGCGCTGCGACGAGAAGAACGAGAGGCGACGCGAACGCACAGGGTGGACGTTGGCGAAGCCGCCCGAGACTGCAAGAGGGTGCACGAGCGTCAGTGAGGGAACGAGGGCTGAGGGGAGAGGGAGAGAGGGGGGAGACGGACCGAACCACTTCTTGGACTCGTTGGCCGAGCCCTCGATGACCTCGAGGACGCCCGGCTTGAGCGACTCGATCGAGGGAACGTGGTTGGCGAGGCTGTGTGGGAGGTGCGAGTGAGCGGGGATGGTGGTGCGAGACGAGGAGGGAGGCGGTCGGCGACTCACACACCGAGGTCGCCCGACTCGGCGGCGAGGTTGACCTGGACGACGTCCTGCGACTTGAAGATGGTCTGTGGGCGTTGGTGAGGACGCGAGTCAGTGTGGGGCTCGAGGAGGGACCGACGAGGGATGGCCGAGAGAGAGAGAGAGAGAGAGATGGGAGGAGGGAGGGAAGCGAGCCGCGCTCGACGGCCTCGCACCTCGGTGGGGCGGCGAGAGGGTCGCTGGTGCGGTGGAGGGTGCAGGAGTGGACAGAGAACGGGAGGGACGCACCTCGTGGGGGAGGACGAGCGAGAGGCGGAGACGGGAGTTGTCGGACGCGACCTCTGCGAGACCACGGCGGCCGAGGACGCGCGGGGCGGAGAGGGCGGCACGGCGGGCGAGGTTGAGGACCATGGTCGAGGTTTGAGTAGGTCTCGGGATGAGGCTGTGGGTCGAGAGGGAGCGAGGCGACGGCGGCGGCTTGGGACCAGCTCCAGCTCGCGAGGCTCGAGGAGAGACGACGACGACCACCGCACAGCTCTCTCCCTCTCACCACCACGAGCACAAA